GTTTATTCAAACTTTACTGTTATCATTTTATAAAATGAATATGTAATGTGTAACTTTTACAAAGATGCATTAAATTTAAAATGATATTACAGCATAATAAAAATAATAATTTTGTTTGTGCAGTTGCGAGTGCCACGGTCACGGCGACACGTGCGACCCCGTGACCGGGGAGAAGTGCAACTGCGGCAACAACACGGAGAGCGACGCCTCGTGCCAGGCGGCAGGCGCCAGCAAGAACACGGCGCAGGAGTGCTGGCGCTACCAGTGCGTCAAGTGCCGCGACCTCTATATGGGCGACCCGCGTAACGGACACCAGTGCTACAAGACCATCAACATCGAGAACAAGCTATGCTTCGATGGAAAGTCTATCGGTTCGTTAATAAATAGATCGAATCTGCTAGTTCCCACTTTTAACTTGCTATTCGGCTCTAAGATTTTCATTATAAACTATTTTTGGTTCCAGATGAATGCAAAATAAAGCCACGTCCCCTTTACCCCGGTCAGACTGTCTTCGTGGCCGTCAATCCGAGATATATGAATGTGGACATACGAGTAATAGTCGACGTGACGCAAGGCGCCGTCGACCTGTACTTGAGTCCCAACGACAGCTCCTTCGTGGTGTCGGTGAATTCGACGACCGGCGCGCACGCGGTCGAGTTGGACCCCACCTACTACAAGCACGACCAGTTCCGAAAGATACCGTCCCTCGACGACCCGGCGCCGGACAGCCAGCACTTCACCTGGTACTACGACAAGACGGAGATATCGCTCGCAGACTACACGGCCACCGACCTGGCTACGTACGTCACAGTCGACAAGAGGAACGTATTGCTTCGCGTCCGCAACCTGCGCAACCGCCTCGTGCTCACTCTGCCGGAGAAAGTGCACGACCTCTCCCACACCAAGTTCTACATAATAATCCACGCGCGGCACGTGGAGGACGGCGCCGCCAGCTTCGGCATTACATTCTTCCGCCAGGACCAGCTGCACATCGACCTATTCGTTTTCTTCTCGGTGTTCTTCTCTTGCTTCTTCCTATTCCTGGCCGCCTGCGTTGTGGCCTGGAAGGCGAAACAAGCTGCCGATGTACGTAGAGCTAGGAGACGACACGTCGTAGAAGTGTGTATTACTTTTGTTTATTAAGATGTGTTTGTGAAGCGGTATGATGCAGATTATACCATCTTGTAACATCCTAGATGCTGCACATGGCGAAGCGGCCGTTCGCGGTGGTGCGCGTGGTGCTGAGCGGCGGCATGTCGGGGGCCGTGGGCGGTGCGGGCGGGGCGCGGCGGCGGCGTGCGCTGGACCTGCGCCCAGCCGCCATCGAGCCCACCAGCGACGCACGCGCAGCCGTCACCACAGTGCTCGTCAGGTACCCTAACAATACACTGACTCGCTTTCACCTCTATCAATAGATAAAAAAGGAAAAGTGTGAAAAATAAAAAGAAAATACCTATATACTTCATGAGACATTTTAACTTTAGAGGTACAAAATATTAATATATGAATTGTTGACTGATGTAGGTTGCCTGGCGGGGCGAGGGCGCCGGTGAGGATGGCGCTGGCCTCGGCGTTGGTGCTGGTGTCGCGCAACCCAGCGCAGCGTCCGCGTGCGCGCCGCCCTCTCACATAATCTGACTAATCTGACGTGTGCTGATTTATTCTGACGTATGCATATCTATGCGTTGTAGTTAAGGCCAAATCGTTCTAGCTCAATTCTCATAAAACGACACATTGTTTCATCGGTACAGTAGACAAGTAACATTGAATTATTTTGATATTGCGCAGCTACATATAGATCGCCAATATTCATATCTGTGGTAATATATACAGTATGATCTATTTTAATATATGACAACTAATCTAATAACCTTGATTTAATTTGTAGGTGTAATAAGTTTTCAATTATATATCTCCAGTCTATGAAACGAACAGAAAAGTAAAGATGAAAATTTTCCTTTCACTTCTCGGTATCAGATTTTTGATAATTTTATTTTTATTATCATTTGGCATCTAGTTCTTTCTCTTTGAATCTTGCTTGATTTTATGCAGCTTTACTATTTAATTCCTAAGTGATATAAATATTACAACATTCTGTTTACATATTTATTTCTTCGCACAAAATGTACAAAAGTAAGAACTTTGGAATGTCTTGTTGGTGCAATATTTTACTATAGAAAATAGATGTAAATTTGATGAGTCACTGCAGCTTTATATACATAATTTTTCCAAATATATTGTCCGTTCCATAAAATAAAATATATCTTAGGTAATGTTGTTATTTATATTGTAGGCCAAAGCAAGTTTATTTGGATAATAATATTCCTTTGCGAATTGTGTCGACTGGTTCTTTGAGAATTAGCATGGTTTTGTTGACGACGGATTTTTCGTTTCGCAAAAAAAAAGCCAAAGGAATCGAAATTTTTTGTAACAGAAAGTGACGTGGGTTGTGAATAGCCAATAGTCGCTGTAACTGTTGTGTTATTTATTCCAAAATTTTATTATACATTGTTGATATAATGATTATATTACGACTTGTTATTCATATGAATCTTTTTATTTACATAAAAGTAATTCTGTTTAATTGCGGCAACGCAAAAAACAAGAGTTATTAGTTTATCAATGAATCTCTATATGACTGTATTTTGTTTTTTCTTTTAATTATTTTACATGATATCTATAATGTCTGGTTTTAGAAAAATATAATATGTAACATTGTGCACCAAATATCTATTAGCAATAGACAATTTTTTTTTTGTAGAATTTTTTTTTGTCAGTTCAAAATTTTTTGTCCTCCAGTGACTAAACTAAGCACAATTGCTATTTTTTTTATTTCTTATTCTCTAACACGTTTCTATGAGCACTATAAATATTGATCTGACATAGTTTTGTAAGCTAATCTCTCTATGGCATTTTGTAATATCTTTTTTTTAAATATATTATGTCTTTCATAATTTCTCCTTTATATATTGATTGTTTGTTAAAATATGTATTCGTTAAGTTGTATTTTAAGATAATTTTGGTATCTGATAATTTTAGTATATTAATTGTTAAGGATAAAGCACATTTTATATCGGTTTTCTCTTTAATATAGACAATGTTCGCAATTTAAAATTTAATTTTTGGTTTGTGTGATAATAAAGAAATTAAAAAAAAAAACAATTCCCAACAGATTTATCGAATAAATGTAGGGTTGGAAAGTACATTAATTGAATTATTATTCATTTATAAAAACATTACTAACCGTGGATTTCTGAAACCAAAACCGATTAAAACATATTGTTATCTCTGTTTTGTCAAAGATAATGACAGGGATGGCGATATTATTTAATATTGTTCTCAGAAACCAGCTGTAAAAAATGTATTTGTAAAATACAAGTTATTTGACTATCATTATTTATTTATGTTATTAGTATTTTTTCTTTTCATATGACAAATTGAATCACACAAACCAATTCATACATTCATTGGTAATTGCTCAACAGAAATCAAACAGTATTGTATGGCAATGATCCATACTATGTGCATGGGTTTATTTAAGTGAAGTACATAGGTTTTAAGTTTTAACAGTTTATTTGTAAAAGTGTACTGATATAAATAAAAAAAAACTTTACTATGTGATCAAATTATACATGAAAGGTATAAAAAGTCCATGATACATTCCATTTGTATATCTTTGTACATATAAGCATATAGTAGGTCAAAGCATTGGAAAGCTTTAAGGATGTTATACTAAGAAAAAAAAATTGCTCATAATTTCTTTTGAAAGCCCTCGATTTTTAAATTTAGAAATGCATTTATTTATTGTGAGTAGAAAAATCGTAAATATTCCTTTAATTTTATAGCTAGTTGAATTGGCAAATGTATATTTTGTGATTGTTGTTCCTGTCTCCGGTGCAGCTGGGTTAATCAAAATTAATTTAAGTAGTCTGATTTGTTGATCGTTATAAAATATATTGTAATAAACATAACTAATATATTTGTCATACATTGTGTCTTGTTAAGGAAACTTTTTGCCAAAATATACCCAATTTGTTTATGATGGTTTGTGTTAAATACATATATGTATAACAGTGTAGATATGTATAAATATGAATGTATATTAAGTGATCAGAACAAAATTTCTATGTCCGGATAGATATTTCTAATGCATAATATTTGCTCAAAATTTTTTTTGGATTTCACTAAGTTTTTTATTTAGACTGTGTCATATTACGTTGGCTCTAATATGTCACTAAAAAAAATATCAAGAAATAAACTTATATATTTTAATGAGCACAATTCTAAATGTTTCAATCATACCAGATTTGTCACTATAATTATAGGTTATCACTGTTAGTAACCTATAAAAAGATTTCAAGATTTTTTTCTTTTAAAAAGTTTTTATCTATGTCGCCAGTGATAAATTGGTGGTAAACGTGATGATGGTAAAAAAAGTCATAATATGCATTATTTCTTGTAATATTAATTATTCCCTTTAAATAGGTATATAAATAACATCAAAAAACTTATGTCTATCCATTCCCTTTTTGCAGTTCAAAATCCTTTCATGTACCTTTTCCGAATTCCATTGTGTCATAGGTAAAAAATAAAAACTTACACTGATTTAGAAATACCCACGTTGTCATGCATAATATCTTTGACAGATTCTTGAACTGTTGTAACCATAATTTAATTGCTTATCTTTTCTAGAAAATTCTTAGATACAATATAAAGTAAATTAGAATGATGGGTGTTTCTATAGAAGTGGAGCTCTGGTAAATAATTGATGTAAGTAGCTTGATATACATATAATTAGATTTTAATAATATTTATAGTAGTTTCAATAAATATATGAGACATGTAATGTAGTAATGTGAACATTCACAATGTGACTCCATGACAAATTGTGTTTGGTCATGACAGTCAGATAATGGGATCTAAGACAGTATTATGTCTATTTAAGCAATATGTATTCCTTGGTTACTTTATCTGTAAATGTTTATTAATAAAATATACTGTTGATTGTAAAATGTTTTATTTTTATACTAACAATTAACTTATTTTAAACAAAAGTAATTACAGTGTTTTATTTTAATATATTCAATGTCACTATGATTTTTATGCACCAAAATAACATGCAGGATGAGTAGGTGGCACTGAACATGCTTATTACATAAATCTGGCTTCACACCTTCAGTTTTAACTAAACAGTTGATATGTTCAGCTGAATGTATGTGTGTCAACATTGTTAGATAAACTGTGCAGTTGTCAATGATGCCTACACTGAACAGTTGAACTGTTTAGTTAAAACTGAAGCAGTGTAGCTAGTATTAATAGAACAGAGCAATTACTAGTCCTTTGGTGTTAAGAGATGTGTTTTAATTTTTTGTAATAATTCCTTCTTTACAGTGTCCGGGACTAGAGCTCTTGCTCGTGGGGTTACTCTTGAGACAAGTGTGTCGAAGTTTACATTGCCTCCTTCATTTTCTTTAACTGCCTCACGGCACAACATTCTAACTTGGTCTCGCCATCCGCATTCTATTAATCTTCGCATTAGTAAATCTTTAAATCTGTTAAACGATAAACAAAAAATATCAGAAACTTAAATATCTCCAATTTTTTTAATTAAACTTCAATTGATTCAACCTTCTCAATCTTTTGATTTTCAGTTTCTTCATTATTAATAATTGTATCTTATTATATATATTAGTATACAAATCACAAACACAAAAACACAGTATTTGTGATTGAGTCAAGAATGTTCTAGATAAATAATTGTAAAAGAATTTAATATTATTTACAAATTTGTAGTTCTTTTTCTAAGATGCGTATTATAGTGTCACAAAATTATAACTGTGCATTGCTTGAAAGGTGTTATTATTTTATATAAATTTTTTCGTGATCTTTTATTATACAATAAAACTGTTCTTGATACGTTAAAGTATACATTTGTAACACTATAATATATTACATACCTTTCACGGTCACCAGTAAGAATTAAACGCTGGTGCGCAATAGTATTATTTACAGTCATTGTTAATTAAATTTCCAACTTTTAATAAAATAATGTTTTGTCAATAAATACAAAATTGTTGACTTAATAAAACCATAGACTTAAATTGACATCTAAGTCTGACATAACCTTTTGGTTGTCTTTGGTTTTTGCAGATGAAAGTTCTAGGGATTCGGATTCGGTCAGAATAATATGGTATCGAATACTCGATGTCTAATTTAACTCGAATACGATAGATTTGGATATCGAGTTAAATCATGACAGGGTAGAATAAAATAAAGAATGAATTTTTGGCAAAAAGTAATAATAATTTGGTAGTTAATTCAATCTCTGAAGCTCGGATAAAACATAACATTTTAAGCTCAAAAACGATTAAATGTCTTGCACCAATCAGCGCATAGAGGGTACATCATCAGGTCAGCATCTCTCTCGCGTATTACCGTATACCTCGGCTTCCAAACTTCTCTGGCAGACGGCCGCAGCACGCCACATCAAGGTACTAAGTCATTTTCCCATGTCCTTAGTTCTTAGGTTAGGGGTTTTTCGCTACGGGTTGCGGGCCTCGAACCCGAATTGAATGGGGTATTGGCAAACTTTCATAATTATGAAATTCCATGAACTTAACTAATGATTAATATATGTGTTATAACTAGATTACATTCCAGTCTGAATTCTATAGAAGAAAAAAGTAGGGTTTACTTAGATATACGACGTTGATAGGGCTTCATCGTAATTTGAGCGTTTTATTTAATTACCTGCTAGCAGTAGTCCAGTTCACTTTTAGTGTTTTACTTCATACAATGTACAATTCTTTTTACGCGTATTAATCTGTATTTTAAAAATGTGTATAAAGATTATCACCAACGTTCTTATTCTTATTTCTATAGCACAGTTTCTCGTAGTTGATGTGGGTTTTAGAAATGTTTTTTGTCAAATTAAAAAATAACAATTAATATTTAATACAATTATCAATTTCTGTTTTAGGCCCGACAATTTAGAGTGACTGACCAAATTTATTTGGATATAGAACGCGAAGATAAAACAATTGGGAGGATAGTTATAGGATTATTTGGTGACTTAGCGCCTCGTGCAGTTAAAAATTTTAAAGTGCTCGCTACAAAGGGTATCAAAGGAAAATCTTATAAGGGCACACGATTTAACCGAATTATTAAAAGATTTATGATACAAGGTGTTTTTTATTATTTTATAGCTATTAATATTGAAAGTAGCATCGTGTATGACAAAAATGAGTTTTGTTTTAGGAGGAGACGTGGTAAATGACGATGGCTCTGGATCGATTAGTATTTACGGTGAGACATTCGATGACGAAAATTTAGATACGCAGCATACTGTTGCCGGTTTCGTGTCCATGGCTAACAGAGGTAAGCCATATTTGCAATATTACGCGTCTCTTTTTTTAAAAATAAACTTATTTGTCTTCATTTCGTTAACGTACGTAAAGTTAAAAAATATATTTTTCTTTTTACTTAATGGCTTTCGTAGATTCAATATCACTAAAAAGATTTTTCTGTTCAGGAAAGAATACTAATGGATGTCAATTTATAATAACGGCAACTGGTACACCGTGGCTGGATGGATTACACACTGTTATAGGAAAGGTATGCGAGTTTTTAAGCAAATTATTCCTTCTTAGATGACGAAAATCTAATGTCGTTCTATTTCAGCTATACTTATGCTGCTGTATACTCTGTGCTTTGTTATAGGTGGTGGAAGGTCAGAACTTAGTGCACGTGGTGGAGCACACGCCCACTGACGGCGACGACCGGCCCATACAGCACGTCTACATTGCCGACAGCGGCCTCGTGCCCACGCCACAGCCGTATTATATATCCGATGATCCTTATGAGTAAGTTGACGTTATTATAGTTTCATATTTAGTCAGTTTGCAAGTCTTACTGATAACAATTACTTCTTACTAATATTAAAAATGTGAATGTTTAGCTGGATGGATGCATGGATGATTGTTTGAAGGTATCACAAGAACGGCTGAACGGATCACAATGAAATTTGGCATACATATAGGACACAGCTTCGGAGAATAAATAGGCTACTTGTTAAGTTTTTTTTTATTTCCGCGCGGACGGAATCGCGGGCGACCGCTAATAATATAGGATGCAATAAAATTAATTTTTATTTTTAATTTAATGCTTATTTTAATAATGCACTCAGTCCATCTTTCATGCCTATTGTTTTTTTTTCTTTTATTATTCTTTTTGTTTCCAGTTTGTGGGCTTGGATCAAAGCTTCTGCGGTACCTTTGAGCATGTCGTTTTCAATCCTGGGATTTTTCCATTGGATGATAAAGAAAATGGAAATTTAAACCGAATACAAAATTAAAAAAATAAAACGTGTTTTAGTTTTTTATTTTTACTGAAGATAAAATTTAAAATTAATAATTCTATAATATTACATCTTATTCTATTAAATTAAATAATCATTAGTCTTTTTATTTACAACATACTGTATGTCAATCAATAGTTTTATAAAAGCGGGATTGTCAATAAATTTAAATAATTTTATTACTCTTCAAATACAATGATTAAATCATTAAAAACAAACAGACGAATTGGTAGTATAAAGGTTTAGTAAATAGCAATCTCTTTATTTAACAAAATAGTTCATTATCTATTAAATAAAATGTAATGTTCATTTAAGATCTTCTGATTGACATACACACAACAAAACAATATCACATTTTATAACAACTAAATGGAAAAGGTATCAGTTCTATTAGCTAGGTATAAAACTCAAAGGTATAAATATGTATAAAAATAAATGCTAATATACAATTTATAACCAGTGGTGAGTATCAACTACCTGTATTTTAACCAGATTGTAACGCCGTTAATTACTAATAGCCCAGGAATGTTATAATTTCAATTCCAGTCCATTTTATATAATTATATCACAACACTTGGCATAGACTTTACCTATTCATAATTGCTTAATATCAGCCGCGGTGAAGGGTTTAAAGTCTTCTCATATTCGCAAAATACTTTTTACGGTGCTAAATATGTATCAGTGGGATGTTTTATAGTTTGAATAATTAAGTACAATTATTAATCATTATAGTTTGCAACATCTAGATAGTGAGTTTAAACTTTATACAGTTAATACAAATTCAATATAATTATACGATGCTAAAACGGCAATACTTCTACCGCATGAGAAGTAACGCTGTGAGGAATATCGGTGTGAGAGTTGTATGCAAAGCGGGTGCACTATTCGGGTTGCCTTGTCCGGGCGCGGCGGGAGCGCCGGGTGCGCCGGACACGTTGTTGCGGTCCGGTGCGCGCTGCAGAGCCGCCGCACCGCACGCGCGCTCGCACGACGGCCACGCGCGGCACACTGAGCACGCGCTCGACGACACCGCAGAGAAGAACACGCGCGCGCGGTGACCTGGTACCCGTACAATTCTCCATTAAGTTTTCTCTACTTTCCTACACTCTCATAGACCTCAAAATTATAGAAGATACTAGAATATAGTTAGTTCAATATGAGAAGTAAATTAAAAGAAAGAGCATTCATGTGTACTGACTGGAGTCGGCTAGGTCCACGAGGTCCGCCCAGCCGGGGCGTTGTCGCGCGGCGGGCAACACGCGGGGAGCCGCCAGCGTGGCGCAGCGCTCGGCGCGTCCGGCCCGCAGCCACGCCAGCACGCGCGCCCCGCTCCGCTGCAGCCGCGCGCCCACCACGTGACGCGCAGACTGTACATTCGATTGTAACATGTTAAACAAAATTATGATATATCGCTGCAAAATGAATGAGATGGAGTTGTAACTAACCGTCAGTTCTGTAATAGTATTGATGTCGGCCAGAAAACCGGACGGCAGCTGCACCGTCAGCAACGCTAGTCCACTTTCTGTGTCATTCCCTTGCGCAACAAACCTATAATCAAACGCGTACTTAACAACTTCAATTATAATTGGGTATAAAAATTGAAGAGTCGTTCGAATCCTATAAGTAAATTCTATGTTGTGTAATATTATGTGAGGTGAGGGTTTGCGTACCCGACACAGATGGAGAGCTGCAGGCGGTGCTCGGTGGAGACGCGGTCGACGCGCGGGTCGAGCGTGTAGCGCGGCCAGGCCGCCGTCACGTTGCTGGCGCCGCGCGCAGACAGACCCAGCAGCGCCACGCCGCGACCCTCCGTCACCGCGCTCGCCCACCGCGCGCTGCGCACCTGCATCCCATATTGAACGTTAATACCACCTTCGTCATCTCCTGAAAGGACCCTGAAAATTTTGTAGCGGAATCTACTGTACTTAGAAATAAAAAAGTAACTTTACCAGTTGTGTTTGAATAATGAGCGCGTTGTCGTCGTCAATGTTGAACTGGCGCGGCTCCTCGAATCCCGTTACGTTTACCGACACGCGGAGCTTCTTGGACGTCTTTATCGCTTCCGAGAATTGCGCCAATGCATCCAACTGAAATAAATTCACAATGCATCAGTTTACCTACATACAAAATAGAGACATTCAAATAAGCCGAACGAGATCTTAGAGAGGAATCAGATATTTCTAGCTCTTATTTATCTAGACGTATTTCTTACAACGTCAGGATGAACGTGTTCGGGGCGCAGATGTTGTAGCAGGTAGCGCGCGACGGGCAGCGCGCGCTCGGTGTGTCGTGCGGCGAGCAGCGCGCGCAGCCCGCACGCCGCCGCGCGCGCCTCCAGACTGTTTCCCACCAGCCACGGGTTGCGCCACTCCGACCCGTGCAGCTTGCGCGACCAGAACAATGTCGAATCTAAACAAAATACGAAAACATAAGCGTATATACATATGTCGCCGAGACCTAGAGAGAGAGTAGCAGATGTTCTTCTTCTATTTTCCACTAGACGCGCTTGCATATAGCCTCATAATAATTCCCTTTTCCCCGATTTGTATACAACTCACAAGTAGAAAAGATATTTAAAAAGCTTTGCTTAGTTACCAGAGGAGTTAACGTATTTATCCATCATCTGCAGCGCGAGGCCGGCCTGCGGGTGTCGCGCGGCCGCGAGCGCGCTGGCCGCCGCCGCCAGGGCGTACGCGTCCAGGTCGGGCGCGAGGCCGCGAGCTACATACTCCACGCCTTTGTTGATTTGCTCCTTGTATAGCACCTCGCTACCCTGCATATAATTAAATCGCATTTACAATTCTACACGAAATACTTTATTACTTGTCTCCTTAAATCTAGTTGATGAGAAGCAGTCGTAGTTTCCGTTTTACCTTAGCATCGAGGAGCGCAAGTACTGCGTGCGCTGCGAGCGGCAGCGGGCGCTGCGCGTGCGGGTCGTTGCGTGCCTGTGTCGGTGCGGGCCAGCTGCCGTCGGGGAGCTGCGCCTGCGCCAGCCAGCGCGCCGCCGCACCGCCCGCCGGCGCAGCCGCCACGTGCCGCGCGCACCGGGACACCCACCGACCAGATACTGCTGTCATGCTGCGACAACCAGATACCAATAGTTATCAAACGAGAATTGTATATTCTTGAGACACTGAAGAACAGCTATTATTATAAAAAACTGTTTTATAAAAGTGGAGTTAGTGAGTGGAGTATTTTGGGCTTTTAGTTAATGTGGTATGTTCTGTCTCGTATTGAAATAGGTATACGTCGTAGAAATGTAACGCTCACTAGACGTCGCCTCCGGCTTCTGGATCCAGTTCCTGTGCAAAGGAGCCGTCGGGGCGGCGGTAGGCCATCAGTCGCTGGTAGCCCGCCGCGGCCTGCCCGCGCGCATCCTTTGTTATAGATACTTCATCTTGGTTGGTTGTCTGTGGAGAATATTTTATTAATATTTATAAACTCGTTAAATACTTCAATTCAAAGTTTAGATAACATGGAATTCCAGTTACCTGTAAGTAGTCTAAGAGTATGCATGCAGTGGCGAGGGGTCGCAGCGCATATGCGGGGTCTGCGGCGGCGGGCGGGGGGTCGCGCAGTCCGCGCAGCGCTGGCGCCAGCAGGTCGCCGGCCGCCAGCAGCGCGCTGCCGCTCAGCCGCGTGCCCGCCGCCGCCCACACGCTCACGTTGCCGCGCGCAGCACTGCGTCGCCCGTCCAGCAATGTCCACGACCACACCTCCTCCTCGTAACCGTCCTGACACAAACAACGTCATTATGGAATACTATGAAACTATACATATACGTTATCAAGTATTGCAACTGAGACATTGATTCAGAGCAACAATGGGCCGACCGAAATTAAATATTTTATAAACATTTCTAATCAAAAACTTTCAGATGGATAGAAATGTTTCCAATACATTAAAATATTGAAAAGCTATTTTGTAAATCGGTATCATTGGAATTGTTCATTACAAATGATGGGCTGATGCCGAAAATAACTAGAGCTTTTGTTTTTTATATTCGTCGGTTTCTAATTTAGCACCTATTGTACGTTTGCCCTATAAATATTTATTCATGCGTACCTACTTGCTTTTTTTATCAATGAATCTCGCAGTGTTTTAGACAAATAAATATTGAAAGGTTTTGGCCCGTTTACAAAGTCATGAGCGGTGTGTGTGTGTGTCACCTGCACGTCAATGGTGCGGAAGAGTGAGGCGGAGAGTCCGCCGCCGCTGGCCTCCACGATGACTGGAGCGCTGCCGGCGCGCACCGCGCTCACCAGGAACGCCGTGCTGGCCGCCGCGCCGCCCCCCACCGACACGCGCACACGACGGAACAGCTCTATCTCTGCACACACACACACACACATAAACTAACTCCGACTCCGAGTCCGTATCTCAATACAAGCTACAATGTTTACAATTTTAATTCAATAATTGATGTATGCATGGCGTTAATTCTGAAACTGTTTCCTGAATATTCTAAATCTTACTTTTGGTCGCTTCGACTGTATTCTCTAACGGTTCGAACTCGAAGTACTGGTCGGAGTTGTGGAAGGTGACCTCGACGGTGACGTCAGAGGGCATGGAGTTCTGCAGGATGATGACGACGGCGAGCGTCTCCCCGCGCTGCAGCGTGTCGGGCAGCTCGGCGGTGAGCGAGAGCGGCACGCCGGTGACGAAGACCTGCGGCGCCGCCAGCCCCAGACCCAGCGTCGGGTGCACGGAGAACGCACCGATACTCCACTCGCCTGGCGTGGCCGGAGACCACACTTCCATAGCGCCTTTACCGTCTTTACTATAAAAGCATACATGGAATCCATCAAATTCTTTTTTTTTTACTTAATATGTTTTTACAATCATTTGTTTGTCTATATAAAAATGTAAAAATAGCTAACTCTAGTGTGAGGTTGGAGAACATCCATGTGGGATGTGGGGTGACACTGAGGTAGACTCGCGGCGAGGGCGGCGCGGGCAGCCGGCTGAAGGCGTAGGGGCCCGCCAGCGCAGGCCGCAAGCCCGCCGCCGCGCGCTCTGCTTGCTCTCCTGCACACATCGCCAAACGTTTACGTGGCGTTAAGTATTCCATAGAAGAACAATCTTTTATAAGAAGCTAAAATATGTATATGTAAGAAAGAGAACTTTTAGTACCTGTTGGATCGTTTTCGACTACAATGCCGTCAGTCAATATTACGAGACCAGCGTTCTGAAACATTTAACAAAATAAGTATAATAGTTACTTACTACGAACCACTGACTAAAAGTATCTCTGCAAATAACCTTAAAGACATCAGCAGGGTCGCGGGCGGCCAGGTCGAGGCCGAGGCCGGGAGCGCGCTCCTCGTTCCTGAACACCGAGTGCCGCACGCCGCTGAAACTCTCCACTTCGCGCTCGATCTGATAAACATGTAAAATTTTACACATAATTTCTTAAAAAATCATTAGATAAAAAATAAATAAAAAAAACTCAGTAGAAGACTTACCGTGTGCAGATCCAAACCGTTGCCCAGAGGTCCGGCAAGGCCTGCCGCGTGCGAGTGCGCGGGCGCAGCCAACAGCGCGACGCGCGCACCTGCCCCGCCTGCAGCGCGCACCTCCACCATGCCGTTGGGCCGGTACTGGCCCGAGTTCGCCGCCGTCGACACTGATACCTGCCACACAAACGAATACGTTAATTTAAGGAGATAAGCATTTAAAAGTCGTGGCAATTCACAAAAATCATAATGTGAGACCTGGTTGTAGAGAAGTTTGTCGTGCGGTAGGTAGAGGCCGGCGGCAAGGAGCGGGTGTGCGGGGTCGAGCCGAGGCGCCCAGGCCAGCAGCACACAGCCCGGCGCCGCGCCGCGCCCCACCGGCACCCGCACCTCTACGGTGCGTCGCCCCGGGTTTAGCTGAGTTACAATAACAAATTAAGTAAGTTTGTTTCAACAATTCTCTGATTCTAAGGATGTCATTTGTCGCCGTGAAACACGTCTACAATGTGTGTCAACTTGATACCTCGAGTGTTTCTGCGAGCAGTATATCTCCGCGTGCGACGAGCGCGTAGTGCAGCAGGTCCATGGGCTCGTTGGCGGCGATGCGCGCGCTCAGCTCGCCGCTGTCTCCGGCCGCGCTCAGCAGCTGCACGCTCAGCGCCGCTCCGCCCCCGGACCCGCTCACCACGTTCACCACACGCTCCGTCACCTCCTTGTATTTTATCTGGGGGAAATCTTTTTAGTAATAATTGAGAACGTCTCCGGGGACATACCTATTACTAACTTGAAATATAAGAACAATTAATTTGAATGTAAAGTTTAGTGTAAAGAACATGACTATGTTTTACCACTAAATTCATGGTGGAGTTATTGTGTGCTGCGTCGGGCACCGTCTCGTAGATGGCCAACCCCTTGCGGAAGGAAACGGTGGTGCGGTTGGCGGGCGCTCCGTCGTCCCAAAGCTGCTCCACCATCACGTCGCCCTCAGTGTCCATCACCTGCCCGCTCGAGTTCACCACCTCGATCTACATCACAACCATACTTGATATTAATTCACTTGGCTGAAATTTGAGTGACTAGCTGATTCAAGTCATAAGTTTCAAGGAAACTTTAGGTAATGTTAATCTTTGTCAATACTAATATCTACCTGAACGACGTATGGCAGTTGTGGTTTAAAGTAATCCGGTGCGGTAACTTTCAATCGATAGGGCGTTCGTAAAAGAAGTATTCTCGATGAAATATTTTGTCGTATCAATGTATATTTTTCTTCGAGTACGGCTTCGACTACCAAAGGCCTGGCCGCATCTTCTGCGAGATCGAGGTCAGTTTTGAGGTCGAAAGTAACTTCAGCTTGGCCGTTCAAGTCTACCACTTTCCTTGCAGGAGTTGAAAACACCGGCTGGAGTACTCCCGAGAAGAAAACTGCGTACGCGGATATCGTCAACTCTCCTTGTACTGGCAACCCATTAAAATGCCTGCGGGAAATAAAAAGCTATATGTTATTTTATTTATTATATAAAGTTATCGTGTAAATTGAAAAGTTATAGGGCGGATTGCGTGGCCTTATTCACAACCTAGAAACCATGATTCTAATCACGGGCGGCGCTTACCGTTAGCTTGTGATAAAGCTATGTAAGTACTTTCTCATTCTTGGCTTAACGGGACTTTCTATCTATCACATTTATCCAGTAAACAATCGGGAAATGTATCGATGATTACAAAAAAAATATATTTTACTTTGAGTCCTTGTAGTTTAGTGTATGTGAATTGTTTACTTAATTAATTTGGTTGTATCGCAATTAAAATATTTAAAGAATTTGCTATTCTTTCGATGTTTCGAGAACGTTATGACAGCTGTACACTTAGATTAGTTTTTTTTTGTTATTCAAAGATATCAAAGTTGTATACAATAGCATGAGAAGTAAACTGGTTTTGCAAACACAGGTTTTGGCACGAAATGACATCATTTCAGTTCTATATTTATATGTATATATTTGTAAACTTAATTGTTCATTCTGGTTCCGTCTATTCGTACTTAAAGGTTAAACAAATTTAGGTATTTATTTTTGTAACAATTTCTTGAATTAAACGCTATGAAATATTCCTTTCCTCCGCCTTTGAAATGGACGTAAGAAAAACCTCACAATGTTCAATTTCATCAAAGTAATTTCATTGAAGCTACCAACTGACAGGCCGAGCTCGCTACAGCTTTTATAAAGTAAACTAATTATTGTCCAAGAGAAATGAATGGAAAGATAATATAATAAAGCAATTCTAAAAGAAATAATGTTGATTGAAAAATAATTTTGTTTACAGTTACGCAAACAATAAAAAAGGTTATTCTTGCCTTATTTATTTTAAACGTAATAATTTATTTTTGTCATGAGAAAGTAGAGCTATGGTCGTTAATGTAAATAAGTCAAGGACCCAAAATCACCATACAAAACCTAATCCTATCTGCTTTATGAATGCAAAAAACATACTTAGCAGTAACATTGATGTTAAATTTTCCATCACTGAAGAGTATCTCTTTGGGCATTTTCATTTCCATCTGGAACTTAGGCAACACATAGTCTGCCACCAGGATACGCTGCGAATACTTCTGACCGCGCACCTCCACCTAAAGACGGGCGAAGATTTAATATTTATGACATATGGTCGGTCACGATATCTCGTATCAAACAAACCTCGACTATTTCCTGGGAAATGATGTGGAATAAAAAAAAAGGCCTTAGGTAATTCTTTGTCAATTAAACGCATCGAGGCGAATTCTTCTTCGTTGTTTAACGAAGACGATGATAATAAGCTAAAACTACGTGTTACCTGTATGGTCCACTCGCCGAGCGCAGGCTGGTCGGCGAGAGCAAGTGTGTCGGCGAAGAGACCGCGGTCGAGCGGCGCCGCAGCCCACTCGCGTATTGCTGCGCCGCCCGCATCCAGGATGCTCACGTCCACTGATGTGTTCAGCGGCAACAAATACCTCAACACAACAGATAATATATTTGACAAAGATTAAATTCGTTGCGAGGATGACCGCGAATGAAGGCAATTTAACCTAGAGGATACTCTGATAAGTTTATTGTAACATTTTAAAATATTAAATTTCAGTCTTAATAATCTAATGCGAATTTTTAGATGGCATAGATGTAGAATATAGTCTGAAAGAACATTCAGGCTACTAATTATAATAAGTTTTTTTTTATTTCCGCAGGAACGGAGTCGTGGGTGACAGCCAATCAGAAATAAAGGTTTATTGAAAAAAAAAAATAATGATATGTTTTCTACCGCATTCCAATATAGCAAATCAGGTAAAACCTTCGATCACATATTATCAACTTGTTAAGGACACATGACTGCATTGGATATTTATGCGGCAATTTTTTAACAAAGTAAAGTTAAGGTTCCAACAATTTACGCACGAATGGCCGAGCCAATGTAATGCTATACTGCGGCCTTCACTCCTACATTGAGGCTGTGTGAAATATTCGGTTCATTAACTGTAACGATATTTATTAAAACATTATTAAAATAAACATTTTACAATGAACATGTTACATCTTTGATAGATGATATTTTTCAGTTAGTAATTGTTTTTATTAGAACAAAGGGTGTTCTGTACTTTCCAAATTTCTTTTTGAAATTTTGCTATAACTAACAATGTAGAAAATTCTGTACCTTGAAAGGGGAAATCTTATTTTGAAACATTCTTTATACCCATGTCTATTATTATTTCACTAAAAAAGTATGTTTTATTAACATGTATCTTGCATAAAAATGTTTTAGAATTCAAATATAAACTTAGTTTTTTCTCATTATACAACATGACCTATTCAGATATAGTGTGCTTTAACTGGACTAGATCAATATTATTTAATATTAAACTGGTTTTATCACTTGCATCAATTTCGTTACGTGTTCTCGATTCAATGTAATTTTTACATATCAAACGAAGAATAAGAATCATATACGAGTCAGCGAATGTTTCTCAAGGTATTCTGGTTATGAACTCGTAGATTACCTCAGTATTGGGGAAATGTTACAATGTGCTCGTGCTACTCGCATTGTACGAGACGATCTCATGGCTTGCGGCCGCTGGGTTCATCGACCCTAGCGCGGTACGTAATCTTACGTGCGAACTTTCTTTATTTTTATCTGTACCGATATCGAAATCGAAAGTATTAAGTAAGATACAGAGATGGGTATAGAGTATTGCGATGCGTTCACTCCGCTTTCTGATACAATTTGTGCAAATCAATTCGTATCGCTGTCAAGTTGAGATTTGTAATTAAAGCGATGCTTTCATATATCTAAATATAGCGTCTATTTGTTGCAACATTGTTAACTAAAACAGCAAGGAAAAGATACAATCTGACTCAATTTTAATTTCGCTAATAACTCTATTGTAAGATTTAAACTTTATAGCGGCTGTGTGGAGCTATAATTTTGTTACTATGGTACTATACTTACTTATCTAATGCGATAACTCTAAAGTTAATGGTATCCTCGGGCTTGTAGACACGTTTGTCAGTCTGCACGAAGACGCAGAAACTGCGCGGCTGGTAGAGCAGCGGCGCGGAGGAAGCGAATTGTGGCCCCGAAGTAGAGCGCGCTACAAGGCGGTATCGCCCTGGACCAGGGTCCCCGATCTTTAGGAACACCAAGAAAACCGAATGGATTTTTGGAAGTGCTTAGTTATGTATAGCTAAGCAATTAGTATTAAATTGAAAACTACAAAACGGTCATTTAATTTGCATTTATAGTATGGTGCGGACATGATCCACGTTGAAGTAACGTATAGTTGCAAATATAAAGTGTTTTAAAACTCAAAACACACTCAAATTTATATCTCGCACTTGCATATTGCATATATAGGTAATTTGAAATGGTTACTACAGATATATAATGCATAAAAGTGCCAGTTACATTCGCACATACACGCGGTGATATGATAATTTTTGATATACGAAACTTGTTTAAATCGCTTTACATCCTTTGTAAAATAGAAAACAATTAATTTAACTGCATATAAAAGTAAGAGGAAATAATTACATCAAGTTCTAGCAGCCTGGAAGTGGCGGCTGGCACCTGCACCTCTCGCCCCTGGCTGAAGGGCCCGCCCTCCCGCTCCACGGCTACATATAGGTTGTGGGCGCGAGAGCTGCCCGCTATCGATACCTTGTACGACGTGTGAGGTCGCAGCACGCGCGGACCCACCACTGACAAACTGGGAACGAAAGATTAAGTTATAAGAATAAAAACCTAAAACAAATTACTAGTTTTTCAGAATGGCGTGATCAAATTAGTCAAAGAATCTCTGTCTCGACTCTAATTAAGAAAACCTAAGTCAAAATCAATTTGTCCCTCCTTGTCTTTTTCTCCTTCTACTAATTTCCTCTTGATTTACTGTTTAAACAATACTTTTTTTTGTATCTTCTACATTGTTCGACGTATGATTCTTTGCCATAAATAGTAAATGTCGACAACGATGTCTATTTTCAAGAAAGACGGTATTTGCACATACATATGTAGTAATGAATCATTGTGCCAAGCCTTACTCATATTTACGTACTTGAGTCAAAACATAGGTATACATACAGCGCGGCGTTTGAATGTTTCTTGTGTTGTTGCTAAGTTATAATATGAATATTACAAATTACTCTTACCATGTCACGAAGCCTGATGTGGTTAGGATGAAGAAGAAGCAGCATACCGTAATTGTTGTTGACATTATCTGTAAGTCATTTTACGATTAGTAATATGAAGCTAATGACACACTCGGAGTAAGTGCCGCAGTTAATCTTATTACGAAAAATAAACTATAATTTAATTTAGAGTTTGAATAAGGAAATATCTTATTGGAATCAAAGATGTGGTTTCGTGTTTCTAAAAATGAGGTGGAGGTAAATAAGCAGGAACTTCTTATATATTAAAATTCATTTACCAGTATTATTGCGAAGACAAAAGATACAAAATATTTTGTGTAAATTTGAATTTTTTAATTCGTTAAAGGCAGAATTAAGTTTCACTATAAATATTTAGCCTATTTTATAAAACTTGAACTTTCGTGATTACGGAAAAAACAAAGGCATCGCGTTTATTTACTCAGTTGTAATAAGTGTTATCGCTGACAAAATAAGTAGATTCACATAAGTACACGTTTTTTTTAAATAATGTGAGAGTACGAAGCAAAAGAAATTTTATATGTTTTTTATATGGGCAAGGAATAATCCTTGCCCATATAAAAAACATAAACGCGTTGTTTCCCAAGACATTGTGCTTCAAAAACTAGGTTACATGTGATTGTTTTCAAGCTAACTTAGATTCAAAATATTTAGGATTTTCCTTATTGAAAAGAGCGTAACTTATTTAATCCTAGAGCAAAGTTTAAGTAATACAAAATGTTAAAATTATCCAAATTTTAAACTTCTTCGCAAAATTTGGTAACTATGCTTTGAATGTATTATTTCGTTCTTGGCTTTTTAATTGCTTATTAAAAGAACTCTTTTCAATCCGATGCTTTCCGGTAATTTGCAAAAATTGTAAAGTATTTTTAGAAATCAAGGCCTTGAAGTACGCCATTTCTTACATGTTACAGGAAAATTGTTGAACAATTAGGTACTATAATTTAACAATCGTTTGAAGGTAACTTAACGTCGTGTTAGATAATAAATACGATGTCGTGGGTGAGCTATCAAATAATGTGTCTATTGAATTCACATGTTTACTGTGTCTGAGTGCTGAGCTCACCGTCCTTGTGTCGCAGCACAGGCGCGGGCGCAGGTCCAGCCTTTATGACTCACTGCATAAATACTACATTTGCGACGACACTACAGACTCGCATCCAATTAAATACAACAATAAATATCACAAAATTGCTTATACTCAAGATATATAGTGTCAGGAAATATTTGAAAATAATTTTTGAATGGAACTTTCTTTGGGAAATTATACTTAAGTTGTGGGATTATCAGAAATAGTGACGGCAAAGAATTGCAAATTATTTTTGAATGGACCTTTCTCTGGGAAATACCGAACATAAAACCACACAATGTATAAATAAAGTACTTGCGACTCTTAAAGCATAAACACGATACTTACGTAGAAAGTATTAAAATATATCGCTACAGTGTTATTGTGTTGGAGAGGTCTTCGTATATTCACACAGAAGTGGGTTAAACTGTTCACAACACAGCACTAATCATCGTAATATTTGAGATGCACACTTATATTTTCTAAGTTTTTGAGGTAAGCTTAATTAACACTATATCACAGAAAGGTTTCGTTTCGAGTACACTTGTTTGAGGCGGCGTAGAGGCGCACGAGGAGGGCGCGAGGTGCAACAAAACTGACGGCTCTGCGCCGGCGCACGCGCTGCTGCTGCCTGGCTGGTGGGGGCAGCGGAGGCTCGCGAATATCCCTCCCAACTGCACCTACACACATCTAGCTGTTGTGGCCGTCAGCCTGCAGGAAATACAGCCTACGCGCGACTACGTCACAACGGCCCGAGCTCATCGTGTTTGCGTAACACCATCACAAAATTGTTTCGTTTCTTTTATTACGAATGTATTTGATACAAACAATACAGGTGTTTTTGTAATTATTCCAAGTCTTGTATACAAGAGTAAATGGTTAATTTAATCAAGTTATTAAAAACACTAATATCTCATAAAAGTCAGTAGACAACATGTATTAGTACTAATTTCACTTAAAACTCATAAAGAATCGATAAAATTTGCTAATTTATTTTTTTAATTACACAGAAATGCAATGCAAGTCTTTTCCCAGAATACATCAACCAAAACATTTTAGTGCAACATTATGTAGCTACCTACATAACTTCAAGTCAACTTTAATGGATCTAAGTTTCATCTAAGTGTACAATATAATGCTGCAAAATGATACTGAGAAGTGTTTTATAGTCTTAATTTAAAACATCACACGACGTAATGTGTAGAATAAAATGTTTCATAGCCAAGTTATACGCATTAATGACACTTGATTGTAAGTACAAGTGCATTCCTAGGAACTTGTTCTCGTACAAAACGTTCCGACTGACCGCCGGAACACGTCCCCTATGGCCTATATTACATCGTTGAAAAAAAATGTTATACTTCGATGTAAACGTACATTTGATACAAAGTCACTTCGACCTCTAAAAGGTTCGAAGGTATGTTTGTACATACAAGTCGCGATTTGAGAAACCTGTTTGGAATAAATAATCTCGCGTCACTCCGCCGAGCTCTCCCACACATCATAAATGTCTAACGCGAACTTATGTACTTAAGATATTATATTATTTGAGGCTCTCTTTTACTATTGTTTTCTTCTTCTATTTAAGTTTCTATAATCTAAATGTCGAATGTAACGGATCTTTTGACGAGTGTCGTACGTAAATCTGAAATATGTAACTGGTTTCTCCACGGGAGGATAAATTTTTTCTATTAAGATTTTTAGACAGAAATTATAATAGAGGCGATAAAGACAAAGTAATGAAAGCTCTAATTTATCTCTTGTGCTTAAATCTTTTTTTTTATTAATAAATTGTTCCGAAAACAATTATTCAGCCAAAAACAAGTCTATAGGTGATATATTGGTGGCGTTGTTTTGTTTCGAGGGCGAAGTTTGCGTGTGTTCAATATTTTCTTGTTTGTGCAGGTGCGTTGCCAATGTGAGATTGTCAGCTAGTGCTGCGGCAAGCGCTCGCTCAGTCTTGGCTGCACTGGCTCGCTCCATTTCCAACGCTGCTCTCAGCTCCGCCAATGTATCAGTCTCAGTTGTAGGCTTGGTTTTAGACCTATTATTGGTATAGTCTGATAATCGGTATTGCAATTCTGTCACTATAGATCCGAGTCGAGTGATTTCAGCTGAAAAATAAACGACTTCTATTGTAGGTAATTCTGCTAGTTTTGTTATATCTATAGATGCGCGAATGTTATAATTGCGTGTAGATTTATGCTGGCACGTTTATCTTGATTAAGACATACGACACAACTAGTAGAGTAAGTATGTTAGGTGACAAGTTGCAGTGCAACAATACACAATAGAACGCAGCCGGTTGACACACACATGCTACATCTGCATACATCAACACTCTACACATAGTACCTACTTAGTGCGTAGACATACTTTGTCCAAAAGAGGATATTTAACTTTAATTATCATCAGCTCACTGTAAGTTCTCACCGAGGGGCTCGGAGCCTACGGTAAGTTAAGGGTGACTAGGCCATAGCCAACCATGCTGGCATTTAGCATACGTGATGTTACTTAAATTATTTGTATTTTTTTATGATTTCGAAAAGGTATGTTTAACCATCATCTATTGCAGTTATCTGTTCCTTCACCGAATAGTTAAAGAACATTAGAAGTAGAATTACTCAATTTGATCTTTTGAGCAAGTTCCATAAGAATTATAAAAATGTATTGCGTATTTTTGCAGTCCGTGTGAATGGTAACTTTCCCATAACAAAGCCAATGGAAAGCTTATAATATCAACACAACAAAAAGTAGACGAAGGAAATACTAAGCATTTCCATATTGGTATGAATTGTGTCACCGGTACCACTCAGCACGTTACCTCACTACGCAAGCAAACATCATCAATCTAAATTATTCAAATCGTTGCAATATGATTGCGTATCTAACTTATGGTTTCATAATCAGATCCTAAGTGGGAAACTCGTCTATATTTCGTCTATTTACTTATAAAAATATTACCAAGTTATAGTTTGGCAAATTTTATACTATCAGAAATATTTTTAACATCTTTGACACTGTCAACGCAAAGAGAAAAAGAGTTCTCCAACTTTTCCTCCTCTTCTCTGGACAGGCAATTCTTTAGTTTAATCACGAACATCATACATGTGCATACCGTTGGCGCGCTGGAGTTCTGCGGTTAGATGCTGCTTCTCATCAGCAGCGAGCTTGCGTTCGCGAGCATGCGCGGCGGCAGCGAGACGCGCGCGCGTTCGCACCTCCTCGCCGCCGCGCGCGCACCTCTCTACACGACGGACCTCACACTCTAACCAGCTTGCTTCCCTGACACGTAAATAAAAATAATAGAAAGAGGAATATCGTATATGTTGGGAATATCTCTGAAAATTTAATAATGTTGGTCCTTTTTAGAGAGCTGAAGAGTTGTTGCATATATGCACTTGATACAGACTATAAGTAGGTATATTAAAAGTATAAGTAAGTATATATTATGCAATTTGTACACGATCCACTGATCCAGTGAAACACGAAGTAACTAAATTGTTTGAAAATACGAACCATTCGTTAGACGGATATTTTGCAACAACGGATAATTATTGTAAAAATAACGGAGGTTGTGACCTCCGTGACTAAGTTGCAGCTTGCATTCAAATAACTCATTTATACTTACTTATTTTTGCATCTAAACAATTTCTTATACGATTTCAATTACATTACTTATGAGTAATGTACTTGTTTTGAGAAGAGAAAATAGTCGCGCTATAAGAGATGAGATTTGCTCTATACAAGGCTATTGATTCACTTGTGTGATCAATATTATCAAAATTAACAATGGTTTGTAATAAAACATACATTAGTGTTATTTTGTTTAATTTCTTAAAATGAATAATTATTTATTATCTTTAATAAAACAAAATAAAATTCTTTAGAATGTGTAGTTTGCTTAAGAAAGAAAATATTCTCGTTTAATTTGTTGATGTTATTTTTATTATACAATTATGAGTCATGTTTACCTGCGAGCCTCTTCAGTTGCAAGTCTCACGCGGCTTTCCAATTCTACGTACTGTTTCTGTAGTGTTGAATGGACAGATTGTAATGGCCGTAGTTCTTCTAATTCTCTTTCTAAAACTCCTATTTTTTCCGTCATTTCACTGCACTTCTCCTCTAGAAGACTACGTTGCCGTTCCTATTAAAATCCCCAATAAGCCGATATAAATAGTTATGTGCTTATGACCTGTGCCTGTTTATCCCTTTTTGTAGTTTATTGTTAATTGTATCATGTACGTACAAATAGTTTGAGACGTTGTCAACTCGAAATTTTAATTTATTACAATGATAAGAAAAAAGATGAACTACGAAGTAATAAACGGAAAGAGTTAACATAGGGAAAGTCTACCGAAAATTCAATTTTAGATTTAATAGCGGCGAGTTCATCTTGCGCGGCGGCGAGAGCGTGAGATGCTTGCGCGGCGCCGGCGGCCGTAGCGGCGGCATTAGCGCGGTTGTCGTCGGCAACGCGCTTGGCCTCCGTGCATGCTGTTTCCGCCGCTTCAGCGCGAGCTGCTTCCGTGCGCAACGCTTCACGAAGATGCGCCTCTGAGGACTGACGTTAAAGTTACTAACAATGTTATCGAAACTCACGATGAATATCTAGAGAAATTTCCCAAACACATGTGTGAAATAATGTAGCCTATGTCATAAAATTTCCAACTGTTTTTTGTTTATTAATTTTAACAACAATATACTTAACACATTTTAACAACAATTAACTTAACAAACGACACGATTACAAAAGAAAAAATACGTATTTCTTTCTTTTACATAGAGAATATTAAAATACCTAACATACGAGCAAATTGAATGAATCGGATATTTGTGCAAAAGCAACAAATTTTAAAAATTACTGGAATTTATGTTACATTAACTTACTATCAGTGACTGCAAGGCTCCAACTACATCGATGAAGTTTAATTCAAATGATTCAAACTCAGATATATCTTCCATTTTGGAAATAAACCAAAAATGAAATTAATGGGATGTTTTATTAAAACTTTTCAAAGGCAAAAAGTGACTGATTAAAAAAGGGAGGGAAAATATCTTTTTTCGTTAATTAAAGGCAAAGGAACAATGCCTGTACAGCCAATTTTTTTTACTATGTTTTATTAATAGCATGTTAAAATTATAACTGCATGTTTTAATTATAGAAGATTTTTAATAGATGTTGAATTTAGATATTTAATAATAAAAATTTGTTGATTTAGCGAGTAATGCAAAATGGCGGCAAAATTGACAGATAATTTTTTATTAAACAAAAAATTGGCATTGGCATGAAGAACGAAGGTAATTTTGAATCTTGAAGTATTTACAAAGTAAAATAATATTCTTTGAAGAAGAATAAAATTAAGTCAATAGAAAAATAATTTGCAACCCCTAATAAGATCAATCAATGTTGTTGGCTGTTTTAAATAATTGAAATACGTCAATTTTCATGGCATTATTATAAGAGCGAACTGCGGGGGGAATATTAAAAAAGGGGGTGATGTTTTCGATTTGCGACCACTATATAAAGGCTCTGCCTTTTGTTCTACTTCGCCATTTCTATTACCAGCACTTCAACAGAGCGGTAAGTTTTAGCAGTACATTTTCCAAATGTTTAAGTTATTTATTATTATTTTTATAACAAATATCACTTTTTTAGTTTTTCATTGTTTTCAAAGGAGTATTTATATTTTCCATATGTTTTTTTTAAATGTTGCTACGTTGTACAGTTGCTTAAATAGGTACACTAAACAAGCTTGTGAACAGACATCGATTCAAGTTCTAGAATAAAGAGATTTAGTAAATATCATTTTCGTTTCATAATTTATGCACAGTGTACTTTGAGCAACATTTTTATCTTAATGTTTTACTTGGCCATACTAACTTCAAAGTCAATTTAAAATTGCGATATTTTTTTTTAACAAACTTAAAGTAAAGTTTGAGTGGATTAACATTATTCCTTATTTATTAAAAAAACACAGTTTAAGTATTATATGCATATCATTAACCTAATGTATAATATCATAATAATTTTTGCAAAGTAAACTCAATTAAGATAGATGGATTAAAACAGTTTGATTTTACAGGTATCAAAGATATTTCAAAATGAGATTGGTCACTTTAATCGGTCTGGCGTTGGTGGTGGCATTAGCGGCATCGGTCCACTGGTGCGAGGGTGCGGTGATGAGAGGCGCGGGACTTGCTGATGATGACGAGTACCGTGCCCGCCGGCTGTACCGGGAGTACGGAATGCGGCGTGCTGCTCGCGCTGATGACTCCTTCGACGACTACGGACATCTTCGCTTCGGACGCTCAGACGACTGACCCTCACGCTGCGCCAATAAACGACGCCCGATTTTCTAATTGAACTTGATTGTAACTATCGAATATGTAAACGAAATGTCAATGGCTGGTACGATATTTCGTTATATTGTTTAGTGTTAAAAAAATAGTTATGTAATTCATTGTAGTACTTGGTTAATAAGCCTTTCATTAACAATGTGTTACCTAGTTCTGGATGGAATGGATCTAATCATTTATGAAATATAAAAATGTGTTTACATATTTTCAATGTTTACTTTATAATTAATCCTATAGTCCTTAAAAAAGTTGATAATTTCTTTCAAAGAATAGATACGGAATCGGCTTAGTAAATATAAATTTAACAAAAACTACAACTATATTAATTTTTATTGAAACATATGTATCTTTTTATGATTGACTTCATAGATTTAACTGAGTCATTTATAGAAAAAAAATCATCAAATCTAACTGTATTTAAGTTTTAAAACTATTTAAAAAAATTATATAGAGAAATAAAACATTAAGATTTTTTTTTCGTTTATTTATTTATTATAACCAATAAATACATTTTACAACAAATAATCATTACAATATTTCGTGTTAAATTATCTTATAAACTGGATATTATTATAAAATAAAAATTTAGTTAACTAAATCACTGTTAAGGCATACTATTTGCGGCTTTTAACCACTAATAGCGTTATATTAAGCTTATAACTAATTTAAAACAATAGATAATTTAACGTGTAATTAATTAACTAACGCGTGCTAAATCGTTGTTTGAATTTTATTATAATATACAAAGATGTAAGCTGCTAAAAGATTTTATCTTAGTATCCTAGCTATGGTTAAATTTACAATTAAAACGCTGACTACACCAGAATAATATACACCATTCTGATTGACAATAACTAAATAATTTATTGTTTCTTGTTATAGTTTTCCTATTTGTCAGATCTTATATAAAACCCGTTGTGGGTTACATACACATAATTTTCTTCGTTGTAGTTAAAACTGCACATGTAAATTATGGATATTAGCTAAAAATTTATAATTGATTATAAAATTTCTAGAGTTTTTACTTTGAAATAATTTTTATTGTAATTAAAAATCAAATTGAATGCAACATATAAGTCATCTTAATATTCAAATAATTAGGCACACATTTTATATCTATTCTAAATTAAATTAATAATGAGACTAGTTAGTTCTTTCATATACTAAATTATTTGTTAAATTTAATAAATTAAAGAATAAAATTTTGTTGGTTAATTGTGCTTGGTAAATATAAATTTAGAAATAAATGTTATACTTAAAAATAATTTCACATTGAAAAAGATTAACAACAAATTCATTTGGAAAGATAATATGGAATAATAAAGTATAATTTTAAATAACTGCCACTAATTAAAGTGACAGCTAAGTTGAAATATAAAACGAAGCAATTTGTTTTACTTAAATTTTTAACATTCAAAAATGTTATTATATATTTTAAAAACACTTCATGCTGGGTGAGTATTTCTAATACTTGGAAATCTTTAGTTAAGTTGTAAAACTTCTTAAATGATGTCCCTTTTTTGCATATTTCCAAGAAGTGCCTGAAAAAATAAAGCAAACGACGTGTAAATTTTTTACTATTCCTTTTTGAAAATTATGACCTTCGTACAAAAACTCCGCAAATCTCAGATTCCAGAAGCCTCCCCATTGTGTTACTCTGTACTTTTACAGTCTAGCAACACACATACATACATTCTTGGCTGGGTTTGTATGAGGCTTACCTTATTGACAAAGTTGACAATGGCGGTGGCGGGCTGCTCGGGCTCGAGCTCGGCGAACACGTGACACTGGTTGTCCGAGCCCGCGGATGTGCGCGCCACAAACGCAAATATGCGCCTGGAAATCAACATTCAAATTAAATATAAATGTTGTTACTACATCTTGGTCACAAATACCCATCACCTAAAGTAGTACAGCTATCGGTTGTCCAATTTTTTTGACAATAAAAACATTCAATAGTAATATAACCCCCGGCAACAACACAACTACACAGACATCATGATTCTGAGATCATGTCAGACTCACAGCAAGTCAATTCTAACCACACAATTCAATGTTACATTAAATAAACGTACTTTTCGGTAGGTATTGCGTTGGGTGAGTCGCGGTAGGTGTAGCGACGCTCGTCGGGATCGAGGCCGGCGTAGGAGAGTGCGGTGGCGGGGTAGTGTCGTCGGAAGAACAGCTTGCGCGCCGCGTCCGTCAGCGTGATGCCGCCACCGAACACCTTCAGGTGCACCACGTGCGCCTCACCCTACATTGTTACACACATATCAGACTGTCAGTATGTTAATTTTTTACTGAGATTTGAATCTTTTTTCGAATTTAGATTAATATAAAACGACTGTGGACGAAACGAATTGAAGATCGGTAAAGATGAAATAGTATAGCGTACCTTCTTTTGTAGTACGTTGTGCACGGCGCGCTTCACTGCGGCTGGTCCGGTGAGTGCCTCGGTGTTGTCGGCGCCCAGCAGCAGCACGTGGCAAGCCGCGCCCGTCGCCAGTAGTGCGCGCGCCGCCGCCGTCACTCCGCCGCCTGCCCACGGATCCCTGTACAAAGCTTCAATTAGCAACCAGTAACAAGACATCACCACTGTATTAGATCACTTTATTTAGTAAGTGAGCAACTGTCGCTAATATTTGGCATAGCTGGCATGTACCACTTATAAGTAATGCTAGAAGCTGACCTGTCGGGCAACCTAAGCGGCACGGGCAGTGCAAGAGGGGTGACGGTGTGCTGGTAGACGAGCGCGGAGAGCGAGCTGAAGACGGGCTCGTCGGGGCAGCCGCGCAGCCGCACGCCGCGCGCTGCCGGTTCCACCAAGAAGTGCCGCACGCCGCCGCCGGGGCCCGCTCGCACCGCCAGACCGAACGCGCCCGGGAACGAGTTCGAGTCGCGCACGATGAATGAACCTTCCTCCAGACCGTGTAAGGCTGATATTGCTGTACAACAATTATTTTACTATAATGTAATTGAGTATTTTTTACCACTTGGGATGATAATCGACAAAGTATTCAACCCGATTTTCAGATCAGTATATCGATATGGGCTCATGGTGATGAAGGTAATATTTACCGTCGTCGCGCGAGATGTTGGGCTTGTACCAGTAGTGGCTGGTGTCGCGAGCGAAGCGCACGCGGTCAGGCGCCACGTGGTGCGGCTCTACCGGGCCCGCATTCCCCGTGACCGCGCCCACCGCCGCGCCGTTGTAAGCACGGTAATCCGATTCGGGGCTACTTTCGCGCTCCTTTCTGTTAAATAGATACAGGAATAGAAATGAGATTACTCGATAGTTGAAAACAGTCTAATGGGAGGACATAATATTTCAAGAAAAGCAAATAAAAAAGATTGGACACGAAAACAAAGAATAAAATGAGAAATAACTTGTAAGAGCACGAACAAAAATGTGCTAGGTAAAGTTAGTTTAGTATTTTTCACAGTACTCATTTCCTATGTGGAAAAGCGAAAATTATACCACACGAAAATATGGTTAAAGAGAACCCAGCGTGCAATACATTTAATTATTTTTTTGGAGATCTTGGATGTGGAATCGTAAAAAGATAAAAAAAAATGCCAAACCAAACAAGCGTGTATTTGATCGATTTTGAAACAAGTGCAGTGCGACACACGTTACAAATCGTATTCATAAATAAGCATATACTATTGACAAACAAAATATCCAGCAAATGTCACTATAGCTCCCGAACTTACATGTGAAGTATTGCCTTATACGGTAGCGTAAGCTGGTTCCTGGTGCAAACAAAAGACAAAAGCTTTACGTCTTTTGCACGCGAGAAAACAAGAGGAAAAAGATAGGCAATGTAACAGAAATCTATCGAATTACACAAATGATGTTAAAAACTACATTTACTTACATACATACAAGCAAATTTAAAGCCTAAGCTATTTACACTGAAAACGGTAATATTCTATTAAAGTGTTACACGTCTTAAATTACTGAATTTAACTAAATTCAAATGTTTGGGCAGTTCAAGGTCGTCGCCATGATGCGCAGTACCCTCCCTGCATCCCATTACATCCCGCTACACCCAAAATTGTGTTTTGCGCAACGACTCGTACGATATTCCGAGACGTCAATCTAACTGTAACTTTATTAAAAAAAATTCAGAGCTACTTATAGTTAAGCCACTTTACATTTTAGATTTCCTATGCGAGGTGACCAGTATGAGGTTATCCTCGGCTCGACCAGCTTCACATCTAGTATTACCTGGTTACTGGCGGCGAGCGCGGCGGTCGTGCGTTGAGAGAGGGCGTGGGCGTGAGTGTGGGTGTGGGCGTGAGCGTTGGAGTGGGCGTCGGTGTGGGCGTGGGCGGGTAGGGCGTTCGCGGGTGCGTCGGGAACGCTGGCGTGCCCGCGCGCGACTCTGTGCGTGACTCCGTGCGCGATTCCGCGCGTGATTCCGCCCGCGACCAGCTCTCTGACTGCTCACGGCTCTGTGACATTTTTTGGTGAAACTTATTAACTTGATATTGTACATTACACTTTCTACTCATGATATTCATAGAAATCTCAGTACAATGTGGTTACAAATTCACTTTAAATGGTTAAGGATCATATAATATTTTTTTACGATAACTACGTATATTATGATGGCTTGTGACATCAATCAGAAAAAGCAACATATACATTGAAAAAGTAAAACACAAAAATACATCTGTGGTATAAGTTACTATGTCATACTGACCATTGTGTCGTTTACAGGTTCCGCGAGGGACAACAGACCGGGCGCGGGCGTGGTCGGCGTGCTGCCGGCGCTCCACTCGCGCATCGTCATCTTTTCATACATGAACTTTCTAGATGAGGTCCTGAAATGAAACAAAATCACCGTGAAATTTAAATCCAAGTAAATAAAATCATGTAAGTTAATTAGATCGATAAAGTTGTTATTTGTAAGTAACCTGTCCGGCGCCTGAGGGCTGACGGCGTGCGAGCGCGGGGGTGCGCGTGTGTTGACATGCAGCGGCACCGCAAAGTCGTCATCGTCGTCGGCGAACGCGGTCGTGTCGCTCGTGTATCCATCCACGCTGTAATTTATATCAATCCAATTAAATAACTATGTGTTTCCACCAGGAACACTATTTTTAATAATATATGTAGGTAATATTAACTACTTTTTTATCATAAAATAAAGATACACACCGATGACTTGCGGAGCGACGCACATTTCGGGAAGACGAAGTATCCCACTCGAGCGGTAGTCGAGCGACCCTTTCCCTTGCCTCCTTCCTTTCTCTCAGCTTCTGCTGCTGCCGCTGCAGCCAGGTGAGGCCGGAGCTGGATTCAGCATTGCTCTCCGACCTGCGCGGCTCTCTTCTGATCTCTCTAGAGGTCTCCCGAGTTTCCTGCCAGCCAAGGGTACTGTTTGATCGCCAGGTACCATTTTCAGGAGTGGTCTTTCGAGCGCTGCTCGGAGGTCTGTCCAACCATTCTGCATCGCCATTCATCCATCTGAAATAAAGATACAGGAGATATTATAAAAACTAAATGAAAGCGTAATTACACAAAAAATACATTTATCTTTCTCATCGTATACGCACAAAGTTAATATTGTATAATAGTAATTTATAACTATAAACAAATTTGTAGTAAGCAATATTAATATCGTGCTTATTTAAAAACCGGATAATGTTACAGCATTATCGTTGTACGGTACTAATGTTTCTAGACCACTACCTAAACGGGAAAGTGGTAACGTATAATTTCAGGGTCGTCGGTACTTGACGTAACCATTAGCGGCTCTGTTTAAATCTTGGCCAAAACTTAAGTTGTCTGAACCAAATAATTCGTCAATTAATTGTAATGACCCATTTACAAGTTTTTATTACATTGCATATCATTATTAACGTAATAGAATTAAAATATACAATAACAGAAATGTATAAAATAAACATTTGAAAAGTACCTACTTAATGGCATTCCTAGACCATGTGTTGGACAACGTGACGAGAAAGACTGAAAGAATATGACTGGAATAGCTTCTATATTGCCTAATAAATCAGGTGATGAATATAAATTTACACTTAACAATGATATAGGTACCAACTGTTGCGTATTTTCGCGTATTTATTAGAAAGTAAACGTGTGTACACGTTTGTTGACTGGGCGGTCAACTAGGCGGTCGCCGCGGCGCCGCTCCACCGTTTATGGCGACGTTTATCTCGAAATAGCGAACCGTTTGGTTCGCGGTGGACGCAATCACATGCCATCGACACTAATCAAAATTGCATGTAAACCTTCTAGCTATATTGAAAACACTCTCTATTTTATTCCGATCTGAGACTCTATCAAATTCAAATAAATTAGGCGCATAAATGTTGAAAGGCGTGTGACATCCCAAAGGCCGTCAACGCATCTGTGGTTCCTTTGGTCTTGCAGATGTCCATGGACGTCGATGAACACCTCGGTGTTCCCGCTTCTCTTTGCTCTACTTTTTTTTGTTAGTTTCCGAGGCTTTTTTGGATCAAAATATTTGCTTCAGCTATATCTTAAAGTCTAATAAATCATCAAAAACAAATACTTAATCGTTTTTATCATTATCGCTCCTGATTAGAAAACAGTACTGATTGTTTATAAATAGCTTACCAAATAATATATTTCCATCAACCTCAAAAGTCAAGTAGTAAAATATATTTTTTTTAAAACATACGCATAGAGAACATAAAACAATGTAAATTATGTTTTATATTAATTGGCGCCGTCTTTAGTAGTTCAGTCACGTACAGAAGTAATTCAAGAAACCTTGCGAGCTGTCAGTCAGCTGGGCATAAATAATCCGCAACAGACGGCAGTGCGGTGTGGTGCGGTGTGGGCAAGTGTGGTACGGTTTACATCTTATGGCCCACGCTTCACGTAGCTATTAATTAAGTATACTTCCGTTTACATAAACAATTTTATCAAATACCTCTCTATTATCTAATAAGTTTTGAATTCTACGTTGACAACTATTTCTGTATTCACGACACAGTAGTTCTGTTGCGATTACGTGTTATATAATAGAAAAAGGTATGTTTACTTATAAAGAATTATTTTAACTGATTTAATTTTATTTGTACTTCTAAAGTGCAATAAGCAATACGATCGCAAAAATACTCTATATTCTAAAATTCTCTATCTCTCTCTCTCTAAAAATTCTCTATATATAATACTTAAAGCTTATTATAGGTCGATACAAGTGTACATTGTAAGCAGTCACATCCTGATGAAAAACGAAATACATAAATTATATTTGAAGAGATAAAAGTCCGTGCAAAGATACCTAAAATGGAGCGTTCGTTAATATTTATTAAAATACAAAACTGCCCTTGAAATGTCTATCTAACCGTCGGTTTCCACAGCATGGTATACCTCCCAACTATTATCTCGTATTTTTTTAAATTTTTTTTTAAATTCAAAGACTATGAGAGTGATGATAATATTGTAAAGGTGCAGTGGAAACATACGGTTATGTTTACCATAACAGATTTTTTTTTGTGTTAAAATATTTTAAGTGTAAAGTCCTACTCGTTGTGTTTTGTAATCATTCAATTGCGCCCACGTGTCAGCCCACATATCAACGATCCATCATTATATCAATTAACAATCAGGACCGGTTAGAGTAACAAACAAGAGATCTCACAATTATCAATAAGTATTTTTATTAAGAAACTAGCTGTCGACTGCGACTCTTCCCGCGCGGTTTTGAAAAAAATAGTATCCTATGTGTTCTTCCAGACTATGTTCAATGCAATGCAATTCATTTCAATGCAATATGCAAAATTGCTAGTTCAGTCGTTCTGAAGAAACCTTCAAACGAACATCCCTTCGTCCATCCATCCATCTAAACATTCGCATTTATAATATCAGTAAGATAAGTAAGACAAGATCTTCAAAGCTAAATAAATAAAGCCAGCATAAAACAGTAACGCTCATGAATTACGAAGATTTTTTTATCAGATATTTGCTCTATGTTTAACAGTTCTGGAGTAGGCTTGTTTTGTACGTACACTCGAAACCATAGCCAACACAGTCGTCTACGATTCAAGTAAACAACACTTTGTATTCTCTCACATCTTAATTGTCTTTTAAAATGATTAACGAATATAGTATAGTGGAAGCGAATAAGATCGATATTCATTTCATTTTAAAGACCAATCTGTTTGGTGTTGGCATTTAAAGCATGTAATGACTTCAAACAACGAAGTACCAATAAGGATTAAAATTACGAAGCCATAAAAGGAGCTCGTAGTTTAATGGCCAGATTGGTTGGTGTACAATTTATAGCTCGTCTTCATTGACAGTGAAGTGGGTCAAGCGGAACGCGACTAAATAAATTAACTGAACGAATACACTGTTGAGGATGACTCGATGGCTACAAATTAAAGACTATTCAAATTTTGTAGAACAAAGAACTAAGGTATTCCTTCATGTATATATTTTATCCTTATTGCAATATGTGTACCGAAATAAAAATCTCGTTAAATTTACTTTTAAAGGTCACACAAATGTTTATTGTAGTCGATAAAAATACGAATTGTGTGGGGATTCAATGTAAGTTCAGTTTATTTAATGTAAACAAACAGCAAGACGGCGCTGTGGCGGCGTGGGCGCGTAACCTCCGTCAGACACATGTTCACAGTTCACACATACCACGCTCGCTTCCTTTTTTATTTATTTAAACACATTTATTAGAAAAAAAACGCGCGACAGTAAAGTCTTTAATATTCCTGGTTATAATTATTTGTTTCTATTATTAATAAACATTGCACACGTGCGATTTAATCATTAAGTCTGTTTATGATGGTAAATGAAAATTTGGGATTTTTATGTGCGCCACAGATGTACCGACCCACAAAAACATAAACTATATCACTAGAACATATATGTATTATAACATAAATAGGAATGTTCGAATCGCAATGAAACGGGCTTTGGGAAATTTTCTCAAGTTATTGCAATTATTTCTATTTTTTGTTAACATTTTTAGTGACAACAAAGTATGCGAAGTAGATTCAATTATGGCATTTACCTGCTCACATTTCAATCTCATGAAAAAAAAAATTTTTATTTTTATACTAACCGTCCATTTTGTGTTGGAGAGGATTGTCTTGGTGTGGTGGAGTTGGTGATGACTTGTTCTTGAGAGAACTTGCGGAAAGTGACAGGCGAGAGCGGAGCGTGCGGTGGGGGCGGCGGCGAGGGCGAGGGCGGCTCAGGGCTGGCAGGGCGATAGGCGCGCCGCACCAGCTCGGGGCTGGCCAGCCGGTGCGTGGAGCGTAGCATGCCGGGCCGCAGGCCGGGTGCACCGTAGGTGAAGGGCGCGGAGTCGGCGCGCGCGTGGTACGGTATGTCGGCGACGCGGTCGGCGGGCGACTGCGCTGTGCCGGCGGCTGGCGGTGGGTCGGGCAGCGCGCTCACCGTGCGTAGCATATCACCGAGCAGCGCGTCCAGCTCGTCTGGTGGGCTGGGGGCTGCGCGGCGGCCCGCCGACGATATGCCCGAGTCCATGGAGGCGCTTAGCGGCGAGGAGGTGCCGCCAGCGCGCACCACCGTGGCGTAGATGGAGCCGTCCAGCGGTCCGAACGTGTGCGCAGCCTCCGCACCCTCGCCTGCTTCCCCTCCTGATCCGGAACCCTCCGCGCTGCCGTTGTTGTCACCTGCACCAAAATGGAAATGTCATATTTATAAAACCGGCTAATTGACATCACGCACAAATTAAGGAGTACCTTTAACATATCAATAGACTCATAACTGACTGGATCGTCCCAGTTTCGCTTTTAGATAACGTCTCGCTTCGATGCAACGTCTTAAGCAACACTTTAATTATGAATAGCTTTTAAATTGGATCGCATTCGTTCTATTGAGCCGCTTGTGCGTTTGCTAAATTACCGCTAAGTGTCTAACCCACGTAAATGCCTTAAATGAAATTTAATCATGTTTACCGACTTGCTGCAAAAACAATTTATAACAAAACAACCAAGTCGATATGTGAAAAAAAACTGTATTTTTCAACTATAACACCAGACATTAATTAGACCAGCTGGGAAACAGACTATTCATTAACTGGTTACTGAGTGGCGACAGGGAACGTGTTCAGTTAGTACAAGTGTATGTCGTGCGGCGGCAACGGCAGACTGCTTCCGTACAAGGAGTAAGTTCGCTTCCCGTTATCCGCGTCCCGGTTGTCCTGCACGTCACCGTTGTCTCACGGAATGTGGGAGATCGCTCCCTTTGAATCACTGATATGTATAATAATAGTAAGTAGTCAGAAACTAATAATAAAATGTAGACATAAATATGAACGATATTGAAATACAGTCAAGCACATATTTACAGAACTAGAAGAAGAAAAATAGAAAACTAAAAGGAAATCTTCGCAATATACATGATTGTTTGTATTTCTCTTCATTGCGTAGAAGGTCATTGTTATTCGAGTGAATAATATAATATTTATTAAGTTTATTACGTGTAACGCTCGATATTTTTAATATTATATGAGATCTTGTTTAGTGGTGTACAATAAAAAATGATATAAAACACGGTATTGTAGTCAAGTACGAGTATTATTAGTGTTATGAGTAATGTCTCGTTGTTCGTATAAATAATTAATGTTTACAACAATAAGAATATCTGCGTTTACGCGCTTTTTGGCTGTACGATTGTTTTTATTATTTACAAAATTTGCATCACTCTATGCCGAAGAAAACCGCAGAATTAAAAAAAAGCTTAATTAGTAGTCATGTGTTCTTCCAGAGTATTTCCTACATGTATGCCAAATTTTATCGAGATTCAGCCGTTCTGGAGATACCTTCAAATAAAAATCCATCAGTCCATACATACATCTAAACATTCGCATTTATAATATTAGTATGCTTATATAAGCAATTATTAAATTAGACATTTTTTTCCGAAAACTCAAACTTCCGTTATGATGTTGCAAAACATATTTATGTAAAAAAAAGATTGAATCTACAACATTCTGATTAAACCAAATCAGTTAAGCTAGATATCGGTACAGATTGCATAAATACATAAATAATTCATTATTTTGTGAATGAACGCGTTTTAATGTGTTTTAAAAGCGATCAGTGTGTCGAGTCGATTACGAAACAGTCCGGCTTGATGTTGTCAATAACGCAATTAGCGTGAAGGTATCACGTCTACCGGCGCCTTGTGAGAAAGAACAGTTTATTTCTGTTGTGTCAACCGAAATAACGCGGCTATAGTAACTCGGGAGACTGGGTTACGAAACAAGTAAGGAAGAGGATGCGCGCTCCGCCAAGCCTACGTCCTCGTCTGCATAATCTTACGCACCATCTGCCACTAATTGGTAAGAAATAGTTTTCGAAACTTCAAATGAACAAATCCAATTAGTTACCGCGTACATCTTTAAACGTCTTAATTTAACTACGGTTAGTAAAATGTAAATATGTACCACTATAAAATGTGTTAGTCAATTAAAACAGGTTAAATTTCTTTAAGGAAAATGCTAACTTTAATACGTAATCTTTTTTAAAGCAGTTTTAACGTGGAAATTTATCAAGACTGGATATTATTTAAGTAGTACGTTTCTGTCTTCGGTCAACAGCTTTAATTGATATTTTCTAGACTTTAGTTTTTCTGTTCATTAGTTGCTGGTACTATCTAAAGTTATTATTCTGTGTTTGTAACTTATATAACAAGCCATTGTATTTAAATATATAAAATGTAAGCGTCTTTACGCATACATAAAATGCTACGATGTAACCACAGTTGGGAATAACATAGACTCAAGTAACTTAAGGTTAATATAGTTTCAAATTGGCCATGAGAATGAAGCTTTTAGATAAGGAACTAAATGGTCCCAACAACTAATCATTTGTAGTAGTACTCAGATTAGACGTGGAACTGATTTGTTCTATACTGGCAGTAGGCTATAGAGGTGAGCGCGGTTTATGTCGGGGCAGTGATGTCATCGTACAGACCTCGATGTTTCTACGAACCTAAGAACTATATTATTATTACCCCTCACGTTACCATCGTTATCTTCGCTCGTTAGCCGCGAGCTTAGCCTCAGATTGCAACCTGTTTTGGTCTTTTACATTTTTGTCCGTATTAAAATTATGACTCGCTTAGATACACGTTTAGCATATTTTAGAAATATCGCTACGTGTCCGTGCCCCGAATGAAAATGACTCGAAAAACAACTTTTGGCAAGCTTAAAAAATTCTAAGAAATTTACAAGTTTTGTGATCCAAATTTGGACGTAAATTGTTCGCGATATGAAAGGAATTTAGAAAGGTGATAATTATAAAGAAGTCGTAAATACTTTCGGGTCTGCAAGACTGACAAAAACAAATAACAAAAAACCAATACTTTTTATCTATAAATAATAAGTGATATTAATACATTTAGGATATTGTTAACATTACTAGGTCATGGACGATTCTTACCTTCTACCTATATATTACAATGAGATGTAAGTCCAATGAACAGTATTTCCGGTTCCCGGCGGCATTATTTGTACAGTAACTTGAACATTACGGCACATATGTCACAGCACGCACACGTGCACCGCAAGGGCGCCTCACTTGTTGACTGCCGGTACCGCGGAAACATCCCTACTATCGATAAATAACGTAAGGACTGCTTTCATCTCGTAATGAATGAACGTATGCAACTTGCATTACGTTATAGAGCTTTACCATTTATCGATATATCGACATTTAAATAATACGCCGCGCCGGAGTCGTTTTGCATATCGCAGATAAAGATTTAAGACGTTCTATAGCAGACCTGTTTATTTATTTTGTGCAACCACAAGTGACGTCATTATACACTCGTGCGTGAGAAGTGAAGTGAATTCATTGAAATACGATTGAATATAGTTACTACATCTTATATTAATCTTCATTTAATTACCTTTATGTGCTAAGAACATTACTCTTGACTCGCTATATATTATTTCTTATACTGTTTACTCTATGGTATAGGTACTTCAAAGTTACACAAAACTCTAGACGTACAAAGAACTTCCTTATTTAGTCAAATAAAGAATAGGCACTATTGTTTACAATGAAATACGAATCGTACACCAATCGAACTAAACAACAACAACGTGTGAAGTGAATTAATCAAAAAGTCGACCACGATGAAAGTAAGATTAGAGGCGCCGATGTCGGTTCATTGGAGAAACGGAGTGTGTCGAATGGAGAAATGAAATGAGCGTTGCGAAGGGCCGTCGAGTCGGCCGGCCGGGGACATCCGTCAGCGATTCACCACGCCGGACAATTAGACGCATCGCCCCGGCGCCAATACTCCCACACTGATCACACATTAACGAACAATCGACTCGAACAAAACCAACACTATTTCCCTTTGATTCGTCGTATTAAAGTTCCAACCATAACGAAAAAACAATAAAATCTTTACTTATGAGTTTGGAAACCCTACAATACGTACAATGGGATTTCAATTTAATTAATTAGATTCGGTTAATCAGTTCTACTAATTTTATATAAGCACAATGAAAATTGATTTAGTTGATAATGGATATCACCATCGAGGAAATATTGGAATATTAAAAAGAATTACGTTCTACTCACCTAAATCCGTTCTCAATAGGCAAAGCCACATACAGCGTATCGTCTATTTATCACACACATCTATCACAGAACAGCTATCGAAGAGCACTGTAAGCTTTCAGATTACGTTTTATCACGTTAATCGAAGTTGATAGCGTTTGTCGGCGCAGCGGACACGACTGGGCGGGCGGCGACGGCTGGGCGCTGTCTAAAATAAACCGGGCACCTGCACCGCAACCGAGCAGCGCGACCTGGCCGCTAACCGCTGCTCTTTAAACTGTTCAAATGACACAATTCCCTATCCCACAATGTTATGACACAACAACATATTACTCTAAATACACAGTAACTCAATATCAACAAAATATGAATCGAACGCTGTCGCTTGTCGCTAGTTTATTTTAAGCACGCCTATTAACAGAATGCATGAAGCAAGAAATTGAAATTTGTCGCTGTTAAGATTATTAAATGTTTCATTGTGAGTATTTCATTTGCATTTAGTCGAATTATACTTAAATCTGAATTTGTATTTCGATTAGTCATTAAGTGTAAATATTTCCGAGTCAACTTTTTATATCACGAGGTGACAATCGAGCAAGTGGTGATTTACTTATATACACACTTTATAATATTGTATAATACGTATGTATTTGCAAAAATATCTGTTTGTATTTATATTAAACGAAGCTAGGATAAGCTGCTAAAGTGATAACTTTTAACATAAATGTTCCTTCTTCCTTGACGTGAACTGACTCAGAAATTTCACTATTGATTATCGCGAAACTATCCAATTGTATAATATCTCTTCAAAAGATATCCAGTAAGTAGGAAGTTGTCTGATACTATATTACCACGTTTAGTTAATGTAGCTAAATAGATAGCTAATAGTAAAAGCATCTACTGAGCCTCTGACAATGTAACAAATCACAGGTTATGTCGTGATTCAATAGCTCCTCTGTTGTCGGCGAGCATTTGCTATCGCCACAAGGAGTACCAACTTGGGTAGCTGTTAACGGAAATAGACTGAAAATTACGGATGTTGTAGCAATAAAGTGGTACTTTGGTACTATGCTTAGCTCTTGTGGCGCACTTACATTCGTTACTCGTATAACTTTACGGAGCTCATTAAGTTTGAAATAGTTCAGAGTTCTGTCATTCAGTAAGCCTTTATCATTAATTAAATCTTTTTACTCAAAATATAATACAAAAGATAAAGAACTTTCATCTAATTTGTTAAAAAGATTGTTAGTCTTAAATTATCTTTAACAGTCTGTTTATTATTTCTATTTAGAGATACAAATAGTCTGACATAATTGCGGTTAATGAATTCCATTCCTATCGATGCTTTGCGGTTGCAGAACAGAAGTGAATGTTTTATCTATAAAAGTTTTATTACGTAAACATGTTATGCGTAAAACAATTTAGTCGTTGTTCTTGAAATATAATAAAAAAAAAACTTTAACGTCTTTCAACCAAACACGTTGAGCGCCACGCGTATTTCTAAGACAATCCCGTTCAGGCCACGAGCGCCGCTTATACGCACTGGTATTAAAGGGCCGGTGTTTCCTATCGCAGTGCAAAATAGTTTACATTTTTAACGTTATACCTATAGGCTTTGTTTCAACACGTTACGCGCCAAGTCTGTTTTGTTTTTCAGATAAAATTTCCTCGAAATGGATTCGTGGCCGTTATTCTTTTTGCAACAAATCAATTCATTACAGTTCAAATGTCTAGTGTCAGCCACCGATAGCTGGCGTGGCGCTCAACGTGTTAAGGATAACATTAAGACAAGGAATTTGTAAGCTATCAGTTTTTTTCCTTTTAATTTGGGTCCTGATGTGATAGCTCATCTGGGTTTAAAAACCTAAACATATTTGACATGTTACCGTAGGTTTCTGAGACAAAATCCCCGCCTAAACATATTATTATGTCTTTTTTGTCAAATATTTATAATGACAGGGATGACGAAATGTTTTATGCAGAAATTTTGACGTTAAATAATTTTAATAAATAAGTATTAACGAGTAACAGGGTGTCGAACAGTTCTATCATAATACCACTTGAGTTTATTCATCGCCGTTTTCTTAAGCATTATATTTATAGAGTGGTATTTATTTATGGGATCATATTAAGTCATCTGCTATCGACATAAATCTCCGGAGACGCAGTCGCCATATTTAGAAGTTATTATTATCGTCTATTTATAAACGTGTTCTTTTAATTAACGAACGTAGGTACTTATTTCTTACATAGATTTTATGATATCTGTAGCGTTGAAGCGTAACTGATAATTGATTTATTAATATATTATTTCAAATTTCTTAAATTTAAAGTAAAAGTAAGAAACGAATTTAAATTAAAATTTTAATGTGTGTCACTGTTGTTTTTTTAATAGTTTGCTATATTTTTTTCTAAATGATTTTAAAGTTGTATTCAGTGTTTCTTGAGAATTTTCTGTGTTGAATATTTTAGCCTTAGAACACTGGTATTGTCCAGAATCAAATAAATTTGATTACACTAGTGAAATATACAACAGACTTTGTAACTTTTTTTCAGCAAATTTATAAAATATGTGTAAAGCTTTATAAGGAATACTGACCAGTGTCGTCGTCAGTAAGCGTGGAGAGAGGTCGCAGATGCTCCAGAGAATCGGCGCGGGCGATGGCATCGGGTGCGGCGCGCAGAGGTGCAGCTGGCGTGGGCGCAGGCGCAGCGCCGCCGCCACCTTCGCCCCGCACAAACACCAGCTCCACGGCCCCATCGCAAGGGAAAGATGCTTCTATACAATAAAAAGAAACACGACTTAATGTATTGTGTTGATATCTTTCCCGGCATAATCTGAATACAAGCTTCTTTAAGTAAAGACTATGCAACTTTGCCTACTTCACCTACTTAAGTAGTTGTTTGCCTAGTTAGGAAAAGATATAGTACAACCTAGAACTCTAATTTACTCGATTAGTTAGTACATTTTACAATATGGATTCTTATTGAAATAACAAGTAAATTAACAAATATTATTATTTCAATCAAATAAGATGTTTTTAATATAAACAGTTATTGTGCTCAACTGTTTCAATCTTTACCATTTTCTTTTGTAAATTCATTTTAAAATTTTGTGGCATCGTAAAAGTATCTTCATAAAGATGAGCGAATTTAATTTTACAGGTTTAAATAGTTTTTAATATTTTTATAACGGTAAAATTTTAAGTAGGTACAACATGAATACGTGTGTTAACTGTGTTCATTGTAACGAGACCGCTTTATGCGAAGATGCAGCAATTACTGTGTTTTAATCACTTATATTTAATGAGATATAAAACTTACAATTTAATAATTTATACATACCACATAAAACACACATTTTTATATATATATATATATATTACTACATACATTTTTAGCACTTAACCTTTTTTCCTTCTTGTAATGTTAAAAAGCTTAACTGTTTTTTTCCATAATTACGACTTTAATTAAAAATACGAATAAATACATTAGTACTCTTCTTTTAAGAGATCATTCAAGACTTTATTTAAGTTTGATTTAAGCGCGTAATTTCTTTTTGTTTTTAAGGGTTCCTGGTAGGATTAAGACAATGGCGTGTTTTACTGACTCGACCAAGAGAAGAGTTAATACGTGATAGATAAATGGCAGGAAACATGCTTTGCATTACACTAAGACAAATGTGTTGAACATAAAGAATAAGTGGGATAAAGTTACCATGCGCAGCATGGTCTAGCTGTTGCTTAGTGAAAGAGAGCGTATGGTCGGCGACTGCACACGTGTGGAACTGGCAGGCAAAGACGAGCTGGCGGGTCGTTGGTGAATGTGGTGCGTGCGTGGGGTGCGGCGCGTGCGCGGGGCGGCGGTAAGCGCGCACCAGCACGTCGCCACGCAACGCCAGCCGCCCCACGCCCACCGTCCACCCGCCGCCGCTCACCATGTACAGACCTGCAGGACCACCCCGAATGCACTCGTCAATGAACAAAGTTCTAAGGTAAGGTGAAATTAATTTTTATAGAAGATCATGCTATTATTTGCAACGCAATGATTTCTTGGACAATCCATTCAATGTAACAATTAATTCCGATTTAATGTAACTAGAGGAAACTGAATATAGAGAAAGGAGGGGTAAGTATAGTGAAATTCCATTAACGAGTGATCAGCACTTACCAGAGGTGTATACGCAGACGAAGTTCTCGTATATCTTTAGGAAGGCGATTGTGGGTGCAGCAGAAGGCGCCAGTGCACCTGCCACGCTGACGTGCGTCAGTTGCAGGGGCGCGGAATTGACGCGGATCTGACCCGCCAGCAGACCCGCGAATGTGTCGATATACCTGTATACACGCACATAATTTAGTTCATTTGATTTATAACATAGGGTTAACTTTACCACTAATTGTTCCTTTATTTGCAGATCAAAATTTCTTAACCAACAATTACTGTTACACTACTCGCAGAATCGCATCAATTGTACAATGGCAAGTTAGGCATGGCGCATTAGGGTATTTGTCAATATTATTACTAATTTGGTAGCCATAGGTAGGTTACCTTTTGTTAGAAGGCAAGTGAAAGACGGGCACGCGGTCGTCGAGGTAGCGGCGCATGGCGTAGCGGTCAAGCGCGTGTTCAGGCGCGCCGCAGATAGCAGAGTAGTGCATGTAGGCTGCCACCAGCACGCCCAGCCGCTCGCGGTTACCCCTGTACCAAAACGGGAACATTACAACACACTTATACAAGAATGCAGAAAAGCGGCTTAATTATTATTGATTTTGTGACCGCTTCCTACTGATTATTTACCATTATAATTTTTAAGGCAAGATGTAGTGTGATGTGTGTAAAACAAATGTGAAATCAACAGTAAATACATTGGTTTAGGCGTGGTTAGCGACACACCGTTACACCGCCCATACGCACCGTGGGAACTACTGAATTGTTTACCAAAGCAGATTGGTATTCTTGTTTTTTCACGCCTAGCTAATGGACAAATTGTACGCGATTACATCTTGATGAATTTCAGTGTTACATTACATTCTTGACAATTTATTGACTTAAAGTGCTACGTATAGGACTGTGGTATTGAACATCAATGTCGAACAGAACAGAAACTGTCGCAACTGAGGTGGATTTAATGTCCAAAGTTTTATTTAATCCTATCGCTATTAGCTTTATACATCCAAGATTGTGATATTGTGTACAGGGGAATATAATATTACCAGGCGAGCAGCACGGCGACATTTCTAGGATGTGCGGCGAGCCAGCTCTCGATGTCCTTGCAGGCTGCGCACAGGCGCTCAAGTGGCGGAGCGAGCTCACCCGGCCAGCCCAGGCCACGCGCGCGACCGAACACCGTGCGCGCCACTCCCTCCTCGCACCCGCCGCATTCCTCGCCGCCACCACTCACCTCGAACACCTGCAATCATGGGATCAGTCATTTAGCTTTCGTAGAGTAGAAGGCAGCAACAGAGAATAAAGAGGAGTTGATTTCAATTCATTCTTCAAAGCAAAAATAACAATTTATTCATGACTAGCAAATACCACAGGTCTTTTGGGTTACTCGTGTTTTTTTTAGATTTTGATTAACTGGTCAGGATCTCAATGCTCATTATGATGAATACATCAGTTACTTGGTGTCTATGCTTGTATAGTTTCGTTCCTTATATCCTAGCTACAAAGTGTATCTCACCATGAAATGCTCGCCGTGCTTGTTGGTAAGCATGTGTGCGGCCTGAGCCTCGGCATGTGCGTCTCTGTGCGGTAAGTGCAGCGCCAGCATGCGCTCCGCCACATAACACAGGTCCAGCCGCCCCGCAGAGCCCGCGCCTCCCGCACCACTCGGGTAGCTCGCTGACCGTGCCGCGCCCTGCCAACAACAATATAGTAACATCTATAAGTTTTAGACAAATATTAAAGTGATAAATATGAAGTTATCATCAAAATTATTATAAATAAGGAAAAAAAATTGGTATTGTTTTGAGTAATAATTTTAGTAAGTACATCTACCAGACCTTATTCCACTCTCGTATTGTCGGCGCACAAGGATTTAAAACCTCAATTTTAGTATGTCCATGAAAACAATTATTATTGGACGGAACATAATAACATTATTCTAAGTTAGTTGTTATAAAGTCGACGAGAACAGGTTTGCGATTGAATCGTATTATTATTCGCTTTGCAATCCAGTCTAACAATGATTTTATCAGCACAACGTAACGCACGATTAATGAAGAAACGTGCGTAGGTAAAGAACATGCCTAAAGTTTCTAGAGTAAATAGAGAAAATAAGAGATTTGTTTTGATGCGTTTATGTTAGATTAAACACAAAATATTGTAGGCGGTGCGACATGACGGTGACGCTGTGAGAGTGACACGGTAGTGTGGGAGGTAGAAAACGCATAACGATACTTCGGATTTTACGGAAGATAAGATCAGTCGAAATGTGTCACTAACCAAATTCTAATACAATAACTACGAACTTTAATTTGCTTAACGGATAGACACTGTTTAATCGAAAACTCTGACGGTCTCTACCGAATTAATATAATCTATGTAACGTATCGTAGCTAGAGACATCGCAATGACATTGCAAATCTATATCTTTTAATTACCTTCTTGTTAGAATATGGAAAGCAAGAACCAATTTATCTATTCCCAGTTTCAGTTATTAAGGATAAAATGGCAAAGAATTCTTACGAATGTACTTCAATAAAAAAGACAATATTAACAACGAGCATTAAAGTACAGAGTTTAAACCACAGCCATAATCATTCATTTTCCTTTTGAATTATAATATTTACTGCAAATACACGTGCGCAAGCGCCGTTTGTCTTGTTTCGAAACGTAATAATAGTACAATGTGATAAACAGCTCTCTAACAATTCGTTACATCTGAATGATTATCATGAAATAGCCTTGAAAGCATTTACATATCAAAGAAACGTTTAAATCTTTGCAAATACATACTAAAATATGTTATTTTTGAGTAATAAAATTTTCATGTTAAATTTGTGAGATACTAAAAAGAACGAAGATCGAGTTATCTAATTTCAAATTGGAACATATTTTTGATGAAGTCATATTGCATAACGAATCACATAAAATATTTGTTGCACAAAATACATTTTGAATCCGTTCGTAAAGAAGAGACAGGATTTTAATAAACTTCTCCTAAATTTAAAGCATATAAAACTTAAAATAATTATGGGCAATGTGCCCAAAATTAAGTTTTAGATAGTTTCACAAGTCAGACAAATCTACTTCTAAAAAATTACTAGAAGAATGTATTTAAACTTACATATTCTCTGGAGGGTGCAGGCGTCCCTGGAGTGACAGGCGCGCTTACTGCACGAGTCTGGAACAATTAAACGTTTAATTACTAAGCGAATTCATAAATACAGGAACACATATATACCTTTTTTTTCAGAGGGTGAAAGAGTTTACCTACAACATATTTTTCTACATTTATTTACAGCGGTGAAATACTTAAACTCGTACACCTCAGATCATAACTGAAATAATCAAAATATTCGTTTCTGTGATTATTGAATTGGTAAAGCACGCTTGGTTCAATATAATATATAAATCGTGTCATTCAAATAACATGTCTTTGTAATATTGAAGAGTGACAAGTGATTGCAACATTCGTGATTGCATTGTAGACGCGGAGCATTGAAATGCGAATCCCAAGGTCGGGGGCGACGCGACGTTCGAACGAAATCAAAAGTTCACTCTTTTTATTACAAAGTCAATCTCGCTTGACAAGTAATACAGCATTAAGTTTATTCTGAATATCAAAATGGCTATGTACTACTAAATGTTTGCAATAATATTATAATAATAAGTCTTTTCCGTACTTAATTTGTACTTAAAAAACGTTTCATAGAAATTGTAAAGAGGACCTTAAATACAAGGCGAACTTTCAAGTTGAACCAAATTACATTTGTAATAAAAATATGACCAGATATGTTTGAACAAGTATGTCTTAGGTAGAAACAATAAAGTATTTTTAAATTAAAGTACATTTATAATTATTTATTCGCAAAACTTTGAAGGAAAATTATATTCAACGATGTGTATTTATAGGATGTTTTAAAAGTCACCGTCGATAAAAGTACCGGTTGCTATATCGCGATCGGATGTTGGGATAGAGCTCAATAAGGTTGATAAATGAGCCCTTAAGCGGGGCGCGGCCTTAGTGATTACTGCAGGTTTCGCGGGGACGTTAGTTGTGCCTATCTTACATTATTAGGCCCATATTAATTTACATCTTGCCCGCAGTAAATCGAACCGGGAAAGTCAAAGCTAATAAAATAGCACGCTGTATGCATAAATTTATTGTTGTACAGTAACTACAAGAGTGAATATTATCTTGTAAATAATGTATGATTCTTACGGGGAAATTCAGCACGTCGAAATTAAAATATGCAGTACAACTCATTTCATTTGTTTAGTGTGCGTTATCGGATAACTGTAATATATGAATGTATATGCAAATACGTCCGGCGAGCGTACAAAGCGTTGCAATCCTCTGAAATTGGCATAATCCAATTACAGCCACAATCAAGTAACGGGCGCGGATTGCAGCTGGAGTGCAGCGTTCGCGCACCAAGCGCGCACAGACCTACACTCTTGTTATTTTTATACCTCGCACTAATCACCGCCCCCCGGCTTACATACTCCGGTTACTCGGTAAACAGGAACAACTGATTTATTTCCAATCGACCGCTGCGTTTAGAAATTGTTTATCTTACGTATGGTCTGGTAACATTCTCTGCACTGAACGCAATCAATTAGATGATAGAAATGTTTATTCTATGATTTTGTTGTGTGCAGTTATAAACAATTTGTCAAAGTTATAATTGGTCGCGAAAGACATAGTGTGATGATGGTCTAACCCAAAGATATCCTCACTTAATTGTTGCTGGACATTAGCGTTAAGGTATCCATTTTTGTGACCCATACCCGAGATTGCATCTTGATGCCATATTTATGTTTAAACTTCTACTAAGTATAGCGTCAAGAATACATTTACAATGATGTACATTAATTAAGTTATATAAAATTATAACTCAATAGACAAACCGTATATATCCTTTGTGGTAACAGAATATCGCGCATCCTTCCGCGCTGCAAGTAGAAAGCAGCGCGCCACAGTGCGAACGCGAGGCGATGCAGCGCACGAGCAGCCTCCGCGCCACAACTGCGTGTACCCCGCGGTCGCATCTTCCTCACTCAAACCTAGCGTCCTCAATATAGTCATCAAACCTCTAATTTTGCCACCAAACCGTCTCGATTTAAACGTTTCGATTTCCAATTTTAATGTCATTATTTACTACTTGATGTTTGCAATTATTTATCACTATAATAAACATCCATTTTAATTTTCTTCAGTTATGTTACCTTTATATAGTGAGTCCATAGAAAATTTAAGAGGTTTTGACTTTTAGCTCAAATCTAATTTAGTATCTTTTCTCTATGTAAATTATAATACATTTTTAAAAAGTTTTGCATATATTACTACATATCTAAAATATTACAAGGCAGATTGTTTATGAAAATAGCAAATATGATAAAAGTCGTATAGTCATTATAAACATTCTGTAAGTCAACAAGCAAGAGTCGTAAGTGCAAAAGGCGTCTGCATTTGAAGTGTTTGTGGCTGAGGCACGTGGAGTGTCCGTCCCTGCCAGGCATGCGCCCCGCACTGCGGCACCCGACTACCCGACGCACACTGATCCTTGCACGCACACATATACGTCGAACCAGAGTTCCAGACACAATGTTCAATTATCCTTACTGATCCCAAAATTAAATTATCAATTTTTGTACTATCCTGTTATAAAAAAAACGAATTTTTGATAACAATAATCCTAGTGTTTTTTTTCACAAATGAATGATTAGGTACATCTCGTTTACTGTACTAAGATCTGGTAAGAATTAATTGTATAATACTATGGTCGTATTGGTGTAAATTTGGATATAACCCTGACCTTCTTGAGTCAGACCTTGGTGTCGCGTGTCGGGCGCGTGCGGGGGTGAATAACCTTAGGAGAGGGGCTCGGCCAAATAAAAGAGCGTCACATTTACTCCGGCCAGATGAACATCGGTCACCGACTGTCGCCTCTCTTCACATCCTCACATAATGCTACAGTTTTGTCGCTATTCTTTTGTATGAACTGTACCTATTCAAGCTAATGTTTAGATCTGTATTGTACTATTGAATGCCTTCGTCTGCTTTAAAGAAACCGACGACGTAATTTGTTCAGACTTTTTTATTTTATTTCAGCGGTGAAATCCAGGGTCATTCTCGTAATTTTACGTAATTATTTCATATTTAGTACGTTGTCTGCTATAGTATAATTATAATAAGTAGGTGTTTTGATCATAAAAAAGTGCATTTAGCCTCATTAACATAATATAGAGAAACTTTAAAACCGTATTGCAATTTTTTTTAATTTAATTGCATGATATTAATTATTAATGCATGAATTATACATTTATAAATTTAAAATTTGATTCACCGTGTATTATGTAAATCATTGTGATAGTTAATATGTTACAAGCACTGACATATTCCTTGCTCTTATCACGTTATCTCGAATAATGTAATCGCCGTATATTGTTATACATTATCTCTCTTAATTGCCTGCCACATGTATGCCATTGGTTAAAACAATGTTATCTTTTATGTAAGTACACCTGCTTTAACATTTTAAAAAAAGAACACCTGTTTAATAAACATTAAATAATTAATTATGCAGAATACTTTTAAATATATTTTCATAATCACTTATTTTTTACAAAATGGGATGTCACTGCAATTTAATTTCGGCCATCACTTCTTTTATTTAATTTACTTTAAATTATAACAAAAGTCAACACGTGTTTAGTTAACGACACTTGTATTTAACAGCACTTCACTAAGAGTAGTCTCCAGGGAGTCATTTCAGTAAGCGCACATCGGGAGCCCTCTGCGGATGTTGAGGGTGCGCGAGTGTGGCGCGGCGGCCGGCGGCGGGAGAGGCACTGGCGCCGCGACGCTGCACCGCTCCGGCCAGACGTACGGCGCGACAACGCGTTGCTAGGCAACCGACGCCGTCTCTCCTGTCCCACATCCCTTTGTACTAGGGATGCTTTGCAGCTCTTTTTCGTTACTCAAGAGAGAGACGAGTCAAATATCACAGGGGATTGTCAAAATAAAAAAATATTTAGAATGTGATATGAAATTTTATTATAGCACATAGACATGGCTACTATTTATTCAAAAAAAGGAAGGGTTAGGTTTTACTCTTAATAAAAATCAAGTAATTTTTTTTCAATAAAAATATCTGCTTCAATTTAATCAAAATAACTATAAATAATAAAACATTGAGTTAAAAAGTATGAATGGACTCGTTTAAATTAAGTAGGCTGCGTAGTAGCCACGCTTCCGTAGTAAACGCGGCACTACGTCACCGCACTACGCCTTTACAAGTCGCCGCGCAAATGACATGTTTATTATTGTGTAATGAACGTACTCATAGCGATCTCTTATGATACTGCGTACACAAAAAATTAACCAACCTACATTTGGAACCAGTTACAAATTACTGTTAGCGACCATATTACAGATGAATATGTGACCAAGCTTTTTGGACAAAGAAGGTGGAACGAGTGCCAAAGTGAACAACATAATTGGAAGACTTAAGTAAATAAACTCAACTTTATAAAATCAAACGGTTTAAGATAACTTAAAACGAATCGTTAAAAATGTGTACGTTATTTAGTCTAATTTCATATACAGCGTTTGGATAAGTCAATACGTAGGTAAATACTTGAATTTGAACGCGAGTGCTGTTAAGAGGTGAAGCTCTAAGTAGTAAGTTAAGAGGTCTTACAAGCCCATCAATGGTAAGTACGCGAGCTGTCGCCTCTGGTCGCGCAGCTACAGGGCCACGTCGCGTTACTTCGGATTTGGGACGAAGTGTCACGGAGCCGATGTAAAAGCTTTCACTCTTCCTAAAGTGCAACTACAACAACGCTTAGAACAAGTTCGTTACGTTAGCTTAAATGAGTGAGGATTATTGTTATGTAAAATATTCCTTAGCAGAGTATTTTAGATCAAAACATAACCTCCTTCAGAGTCAAATTATTAAAACATAACCTTCATTTTGAAGTCGACTAAAAATTGACTTTTAAGGGACAGTAAATAAAGATGGTGTAATTTATATGCGATAGTGTCAAGAAGTTTAACGCTAGGAAAGTAAGGTCGATTTTTTTTTTGCTAATTATTAGTTAAATGGTACCATAATCTGCCTCCAAATCTTGATCATAAGAATCTTTAGTAGCAGAACACAGTCTATTTTATTTCTT